CCCACGAGGACGGCGGGTCCCGTGGCTGGGCTGGTGGAGAGGGAGGATTGGAGGGCGAGGAGGGCGTTTATGCACTGTGTGTGTGAGTGTGAGAGATGGGTGTATTGATTGGGTTTTTCATTTTATTTCTTATTGTATTGTATTTTTCTTTTGATAGACAGCTGAAAAAAATTCGACCAACCAACCAAATATATATATATATAGATATATATAAAAGACAACAAAACTTACACGGGGAAACCCAACCAGCACACTCGCTTTCAAGCAGCTCTCTCGTATTCGCCTGGCAATGCGGAGCTGTCTGTCCTGCGCATCAATGCCACCAACTTGCCCTTCATCCGCGCACCGTTGGCTGATATACTTCCACAGCTCGCCGACAGCCGCCTCCTTGTGGAACGCTAGCAGTGAAGCGGTCGCGACGACGTACCAGAGGGAATCCACACCGGTGACGCTCTGGTCGGGCATAGCCGCGGAGAGGCGATCGAAGTCAATGTGAGTGGAATTACGTGGTGTGGCATCAGGTTCTCGGCTCGTTTTGTCATTAGTAGTGGTGTGATGTGGTGAGGTTGGGGACGAGGACGGGGACGATGGCGATGGCGATGGCGATGGCGACGGTGATGATGCGGGGGCCGAAGAGGAAGCGAAAATGGCTGCTGACGTCGAGTATGATCTCCTGAGAGGTGCCGCAACATCTTGCCCTGACCTAGACGACAGGAGAGGAGGAGGAGGGTGGCGGGTGTTGCGTCCTGGTACACCCGCCAATGGTGATTCCGATCTCGATATGCTCTGCCTCTCTGGATCCGTACCGATACACAGTCCACCCGCAGCATCTCCCTGCCCCCTCGATCGCTCTTGAGCAGATGGACGGCTTGTGGCGCATTTCCGGTACAGCGCCACAAGTCTCCGCAGATATTCGTGCATACCGCACTCCTCCCGAGGAGTGTGCACACAACTATTTGTATGTATTACCTCCCCTGATCTCCTCTTTCTTACTCGTGGTCCGCCGATGTTGGTGGTGGTGTTGTTGGTATTACTCTCGCTGGAAATAGAAGCAATAATAGCTCCTCTTCCCATCGTAGCAGCTTCCGCTGTTACACCGCTGTAGGGCCGTACCGACGTATAAATAAGCCCAGGTACGGGCGGAAGCACATGCGCATGTAGATATGAATGTATAGGTGTCCTAGGCGCAACAGGCCTAGTAGTGGACACAGCTTTCACAAGAATAGCGCCAGTCCGCCTGCTGCTGCTGCTGCTGCTGCGCGACAAAAGCCTTCCTCCTGCGGCCGGAGACGAAGAAGCCCGAACGAGAGGGGAGGGAAGCATCACAGAACAGGGCGGGCAATAAAACATATGCCGGCCGTATGTATGGTTTTTAAAATTGCAATTTGTTGTCTGTCCCACGCGAGCCAGCAGGAGGAATCTGACCAAATGACAAAAGGACCGGCGGGTTCACGGGTTCTGCTAGCCTAATATCTCTTAGGGAGAATCCAATTATTGAGGAGTGCGCAGTGTCGCCGACAACTATCATAGACACCCGCAAAGAGACACCTCGGACGGGTTGAAGAAATACTTGAATGCAACGGAGATTGAGACGGTGGATGGAAGATGGATTGGAGGCGGGACACGGGGCAAAAAGCAGGGGAAAAAAAAGTCTTCGAGTATGTTGTCGCATGCGAAAACGACGGAGGAGTATGTAAAAAGAGCAAGCAGTAACTTTTACCAAGTACATGTGCCACCAGCCAGGTTACACGTCGGCTGACCCCTCGGGTGACTGACCTGACCTACGCTAGTGTAGGTCACCTGACCCTATAGAAATGGTGACTAGTCAAAGGGTCAGTTGAGCTCCTTACCAACTTGATCTCTTACAAGCTCTTACCAACTGCCCTGAGCCTCTGCTAGCACCCCCATCATCAATACTAGTCCACTACTAATCACTCAATTTTATATAAGACAGACTCACAGAGTGAAGTAAAGTCTCTAAGAATTATGTAATAATAAATAAATTAAAAAAAGTATTGATTAGTCAGTGACTAGTCATTGATTAATTATAGAGTAGTAATTTAATATATTAAATAATTTAAATAACTATACTCTGTATATTAAATTTATATTGACTAGTATCTGACTAGTAATATATCAGTAATTCACTAGTGCAATATTAATAGTTAATAATGAGTTTATAACTAACTAGTAACTTACTAGTCAGTAACTGATTAAATAATAGTAAAGAACTAGTTTTATATACTATATTTTCATTCATAGTTTATATATACTTCTCAATTTAATAATATTCAAGATTTAATCAATTTCTATTATTCAAAAAAAGAATTATAATATTCATTTTCACTGTGTGTATTATAGATGTATGAGAAGGTAAAAGTTCATTTTTGTTTTATCCTCAACTGACCCATTTTGTGCCAAGAAATTATTTGGGTCAGGTGACTAGCACTAGCGTAGGTCAGGTGAGTCACCCGAGGGGTCAGCCGACGTGTAGTCTCGCCACCAGCATATATGCGTTGACCGATCCAGTAAATACACAAGGGTTCTAGGCCAATTTAGGTATGGCTTCGCATGCAAGAATACTCGACCAGAGCAATTTCATGCATGTCTGCAAGCACAGGAGTACAGACAAACTCCTTCTCAGGGAGGTGAGTTTTTCCATAAAGCTCAGAAATTCTCTTGACACTGCTTTGGTATTCACTGTAATGTTAGCTTAAAGCATCAGGGCAATGGCTGCGCCCTTGTCGCTTGGGACTCTGGACAATGAAGGAAGAGAATCATGTCATAGCTTGCAGTAGCAAAACCGCAGTTAAAGAAAGTTAAAAATATAGTTTCCCTATCAGAATGTTAGCTGCATCAAATGAAAAGAAAAGAGCATTTGTTGAGAGCTATCAGTTGCATGGTGTTTTGGTATGATATAAGCTGCTGGCCCCTCTCAGGCAGAAATATTTCATCCTCCCACGTTCCCAAGTTTCCCCATCCTTCAGCGCCCGGAAAACTCATATTCCACCAACTTACTCAGTCCCAATCGAGTCTTTTTGCATTCATGCAGAGCAGAAAGATGGCTGCATCTGTGCTGGAAACACCCTTGGGCCGAATCAGGTCCGATCTTTGAAACTACACCCGAAGGCCTGACGCTCTGCTCTCTTAACTTGAACCCCACTTTCTCCTGCTACATTACAGCAGAGGCAACGGCCTGCTCACATTCTACCCACATTACCTTTCATGGATGGAGTATAGGGTTGACGATGAAGGGGAGAGGGTTAAGTCACCACCCTGTTGGCTCTCTGATCTGTGAGTGGTGGGCAGCTTTAGAATTATCAAAGTTAGTGAGTGGGAGGCCCTGAAAGCACCCACTTGGTGCTTTCAGTGTGCCAATTCTATGATCACTGTGGCCTTGCTATGTAAGTCACAGAAGCAGAGTCTTCAATACCATCATACAAAGTTTGTTTATTTATTCCCTTGTTTGATATGACACCTAACTATGTGATGCATGGCTGTCTCATCTCATGACAGTGGATTTCCTATGGCTCATTGCTATAAGAAGCTTACTAAGTATGAGGGAATCAATCTCTGCCATTCAATTGTGACAGGAAGCTGCCTAAAAAAAATGGGTTGAGAGCTTCGCACAGACGGTATCCATTCAGATTGCCACATTTTTTAAAGTTAGATATTTGTGATTGTTCTTTAAGAAAGAAAAAGGGTTCTCTGACCACTACTATAAGTATTTCATTGTTGATCAGCAAAAATCTACTCTTCATTATTGATTGAATGCTGAAACAGAAACTTCATGAAAGAGTTTCATTTCAGTTCCAAGGTTTTTTATAGATTTCTAGATGTGAATTGTCACACAACTTTCATGGGGAGTTTGTAGCAAAGAATCTCACTCAGATGATCGAATTTCCCAAGGAAGCATCAGATATGCAGACTATGAGCCAGAAAACTGTACACTGATCATGCATGCTGCCCAAAGTGTGATTGCTGAGGATTTACTGGACCATTTGCCTCAGTCACATCAGCCTAACAACCGGTTGCTGCTGCTCTTAACACAAATTCCCGAAGTTCATAAGCAATGAAATGGGGAGAGATGAATGAAAACCAGTCAAGAGTGTCAGCTCTCTAAAAATCTAAAAATTTATTTACGTCGTTTCCTCGGCATCTTGAACGCTTCTGCAGATTGCTTTTCAGCAGCATTTGAGGGAATATTTTTTGAACCAGAGTGAGTCTCCTCCTCCAATACAGATGTAACACTCGAACCCTGTATATCAACTCCTTGGACTCTCTGCGAAAGTCCAGATGATTCTGAGAAACTCAGCTCGGATTGCTGTAATATCTCAGCCTCATCGATAGCGGAGCATAACCTCTTAAAATGAAAAGGTGCCCAGTCGTTATATACACTCATCACAAACTTGTAGGATGTCCATTTCTCTTTACCATCAAGTGATGTGAAGTCGAACCTGTGAATGGGATGGCGGTAGTAGGTAGTGTTCTCTCCCTCGATCACAGGGTAGTGGCCGTATATCCTCACAGAGCAGTGATCATGTGAAATTGAAAAGGCTAGAATCTGTTGATGCAGCTCCTTCTCACGCTTCACAAGTCTGAAGAGCTTGACAACACCCCTTACTGAGAGAGTCATGCTGTGTGCATTCTGTCGATCTGCAATATCAAGTGCTGCTTTCCCGCACTTTACTTCAGCTGTCATAAACGGAAAATACATGTAGGCTGTACCCATGAAGAAAGAAGCATCCCCAATATTGCCGACAAATGGGGCAAGTTTTCCAAGTTGATTTTTAGTAAAAGCTTGCCGCGGAAAACCCACGCCGAAATCCGGCTGTGGGCGAGATAATCGAAATGGACGAGATGGTGGAGGAACTTGTGCAGGTGGTGGCAATTGCTGAGCCTCATCGATTTCTCTCGAGCTATCCCAGCTTTCATTTACGCTGACAACCAAATGCGGGAACGTGACACGCCCGAGATCCATCGCACTCCCGGCTGAGGGGACGATCAGTTCACCAATGATCCGAATAACTCCAGTCTCATTATACTTGCTTAGTCTCTCACAAGTTGACTCAAAAGCATTGTCTTCAAATACTGTGTCTTTAGGGATGTCAACATCTTTCACCAGAAGCTCCTGATAGAAGTCCGTACTGTCTCCACTGACGCCATTCTTATGCCGTTCCATAAAACTACCTTTAGTCTCCAGATATACCTCATAATTTTTGTCGGTGTAGGGCCTACTCTTTGCTTCTCGTGAACCTGTTTCGCTCGGCGCGTTCAGACTACCATTTGATTTTGTCCGGCGAAGAGATGGGCTTTTGGGTCGTGCAAGAAAGTGTTCCATGGTGTCACGTTCTAAAGGATTTTCGGGCCACCTATATTCGTTGAGTGTCCAATGCTCGATAAGTCTATCCCTGTTGGTTCGTGGCCGTTTCGAAGGAGGATCGGGGTTATCAGAGAGACGCTTAGATTCGGAGTGTAGTCGTTTATGCTTATTAGGTGGATTCTGCGATAAGACTGGACCATGAAGAGTCTTGGGTAGAATTAGCTCCTGTCGTACGATCATAAGGGCGATAAATATACCTCTGGATTGACAGCTTGGATTGGAGGGAGATTGACGTTTCTGTGTTCATTTATTCCATTGACTGCGTCCTCACCAGCGCTGGTATGGTTCGTACACTGTCGTTTTTCCAGATGTCTGCCTGGATGCAGGAGTGGCTCCCCAGATTCAGTTGTTCGCTTCCGTTTATGATTGTTTACCTGTATTCCCTGGCAATTAGCATCGGTATTTCATAGCACCCTGAAGACGGCGGGAATCATACAGCCTTTTCGAGCGAGCGGCTCGTTGGAGGTTTAGTTTCCTGCTCACAGGAATGATATCTTTGAGAGAGGCGTGCGCTTCTTCGGCAAGAACTGGGTAGTGCTTCTTTCTGGATGAACAACTCACTATTGCCCTGTAACGCAGGTGGTTGACGCCCTCTCTTTTTATGATATTTTGCTTGACGCGACGCCATGTTCATTGAATAAGAGAGGAGTAGGTGGCTTTATATTGCTGAACAGCGGGTTCGCCGGGATAGAGGACAAGCTTGATCGAGCGCTCGGGTATGAGGTGAGCCAATTGTTGGCTGAGCAACCAACGAGCAAAACGTATTTTTGGACAGGATAGGAAAAGGGTCTTGGCACTCACCTTTACCCGACCAGCTCTTCCAATGCGACCTGGCAGCAAGGCTTCTTCAACCTCCCACCAATCGATTACACTACGGATATGGAAAATTTTGCTTCAGTCATGGCTTCAAGATTTTGCGCACCCAGCGCACATGGGCGACGACGAATGCATGAGAGGGAGCAGGTCTACTCGAGGGTTTGGGGGGATTGGGCTGGCAGACTGCATGTAGCCTTAGAAAAATATGAAGAACAACAACAACAGCAACAACAACAACAAGGGTTTGGTGGCCGTACAGTGATTGCCATTGGCTATCAATTAGATTCAGCGCTCGCCTGTATGGCGGTTAGTGGAGATGGTTTTTGCTATTAGGACGCGGCGAGAAGTTTCGGACTCGCAATTTGTCAGGAACATGGGCAAATCGCCTTCCTCGATAATGTTTTGATCCAGTCCGAACTTAAACCAGGATCGTAAGGACGAGTTCTCAATTTCTCATCGGGCAGCAACGCTGCCATTTAGCCTTTTTAGTCTGTCCACGTTAGACCGTCGTTGGAGAATCTGTGCTTCTTCGTTTCCAGCCTCTTCTCTGCATATATCTACAACTCTTCGCGACGGAACCTGTTACAACCACATTTGACGCGATGCTCATCTTCATTCGGCAGAAGGCACCTTAGCATATCCCTCAGTGGGTTCTCCTCACCTACCACCAAATATGCGACAGGATCCAATCCAGGGTATGAGTGCTAATCGGTTGGGTAGTTCTCCCAGCAGTTCACCATTGTTGGACATGTCTGTTCCATCCGCCTGATGCGTTTTACTCGTCGCATCTCAATACGCTCTGTATAGCCAGTCTTTATCGCTTCTGGGTCATCAAATTGCAACACACTTTGAGAAACTCCTTAAACAACTTATCATCCTCTGGTTCAAAATTTCCATTAAGTATCCTGTCGACGTCGTCGCCGTATAGGTAATTAAATAGCGAGTAACGATGCACAAAATCTGCCACGTTGGCAATACGGTAGTCGAAATGAGCCGAAGACATATCGTAGATGTCTCTAACCTTGTAAGCCAGCGCGCAGAATACCAACGCATCACACTTTAGTTTCCGCGGTTCTCCTTGCTTATTTTCCTTGCGGTCTGTTTTCTCAAATGCGAACTTCATGAGATTTTCCACCCTAACCGCCTGCTACCTAGGGAAGGGTCACATCATCCGGTTGTTGTCGTACGGCGTTGGCTGTCGCTTCGAGAACGTTGTGAATCTCAAGCTGTATCTTCCGCCGTGACACACTTTGCAGCACATCACCCAACTCAAGGTCAAGATCCTTATGATGCCAAAGCTTAGATCCAATCTGGTCCAGATTTGACTGGCATTCTAAGGAAAGTGAAACCATTCTGGAATGTGCGCGATGTACAAATCAGCAGCTTCCTGCCAGACAAATTGTACTTTCGAAGCAGAGGGAAGAAAAAATTCCTGGTGGACCTTGGTGAGGATTACAAGTTCCGAGCAACGAAATTGTCTGGCTGCTACAAATTGCACCAACGATCATGATTGGCTTACACCGCTTGACGGCTATCTTTTCGTAATCGAAGAAACGTCGCCGCTTCAGATGGGCGCCAGTTTCTTTCCTTATCTCCTCGTCCGTAGGTTTTGGCAAAATTCGCGTGGTATTGACAAGATTAACCATCCCCACAAGAGTTAGGGGTTGAGAATATGGTGAAGTCACGGATAAAAGCTCTCTAAAGAAAAGAAAAAAAAAGGAAGAAAGGAACTAAAATAAAATCTATCCTGATCTCATCATGCTTTATCTGGCCAGTAGGTCTTTATGATGTCCCTCTTGTTCACCTTCCCCATTGCGTTCCGCTCGATATTATCCACGAGTTTCAACACGGTAGGCACCTTGTATGAGGCCATTTCTTCCCTCAGTCGAATACGTAGGGGGCTGAGTTCGAGCGCAGGAGTCTGGCCAATGGAAAGTGAAAAATTAGTCTGCTTAGCATCAATCATCCGATATATGCCCAGCGTGTGAGGAGGGGAGGAAGATGAGTGAGAAAGTAAGAAAGAAAGAAAAGAACGTACACCAGACCTCTGCTTAACCACAGCCGCCACCCGCTGACCCCATTCCTCATCCGCAAGCCCGACAACCACGACCTCCTGAATCTCGTCCAATGCCAGCATCTTCCTTTCCACTTCTAGCGCCGAGATCTTGTAGCCACCAGACTTGATCAGATCAACTGACGCCCGGCCCTGGATATAATACGCCCCGTTCGAATCCCGCTTAGCAACATCGCCCGTCTTAAACCACCCATCCGCGGTAAACTCCTTCGCAGTAGCTTCCGGCCGTCTCCAATATTCCAGAAACACATTATCCCCTTTCACCTCAATCATGCCCGCCTCCTCCGTCTCCACCGCAACCACCTGGCCGGTTTCCTTATTGGTGAGCCGAACCTGCACGCCCGGCAGCGGCCACCCAACGCTGCCATCAATTCTCGTTTCGATATCTAGCCCACAGCTAATCCCCATGCCGATCTCCGTCATGCCATACCGTTCCAGCAGCACCTGGCCCGTAATCTCCGCGAATTTCGTCTTGATGGGCGTGGGCAGGGCGGCCGAGCCACTGACAACCAGACGCAGGGCCTTCGTGCCCCTCCGTGCATCCGGCTCCAGCTCCGTCGACCGGATGTGCGCATCGAAGTAGTCCACGAGCCGCGAGTAGACGGTCGGCACGGCGAAGAACATCGTCGACGAGCCCCGATCGCACCACCGCCTCCAGACCACGGCGGGATCGAACTTGGTGTGCATTTCCACTGTCGCGCCGGCGAGGAGTGTGGCCGTGAGCCCGTTGATGATCCCATGCACATGGTGCAAGGGGAGCACATGGATGAGGTGGTCTGCCGGGGTATATTCCCAGGCCTTGGCAAGGCACTCCGCTTGGAATGTTATGTTCTTGTGGGTTGTGACGCAGCCTTTGGGGTTCGAGGTTGTTCCGGACGTATATATCATCAATGCGCGCCTGGATTGGGGGAGGGAAGCGTGGAACGGTGGTAAGGGCACTAGAGATTTCGTGCTGGCGACGAGAGGGATTAGATCAAAAAAGGGAATATCGGGACAAGCTTCTTGAATGGCGGTTTTCATATGGCTGAATGAGGGATGGAGGATGATCAACGAAGGATCCGAATCGGTAATGGTATATATGATTTCTTTCGTCGGATGGGTGGTACCTGTTATGATTAAACCGGTTAGCTTTTCCAACGAGTAAGAAGTAAAAAGTAAAAAAAAAAAACAAAAAACAACAATTGAATATCTCCTACACAATGGCACGCATACTCCGCCGGTAGCCCATACAGCCCACTGACAAACAACATAGTCGTATCCCGCGGGTGTCAAAAACGCAATGCGTCGCTCCTCCAAATCCCCTGCCAGCTCCAGCTTCAAGGACCCCAGAATCTGCATCTTAAGGCACGAAACGTCCGCCAGGAGCTGGGCATAGGTGAAGCTTTGGCCCTTGGCTGTGTCAATGATTGCGAGTTTGCCGGCATCTTTCTGAGCGTGGTTCCGCGCAGCTAGTAGGAGAGGAAGCGAAGGAATTGAGGTCGATTTGTCGTTGTTATTGCAGTTGTTCTCATTAGTATTATTATTACTATCGGTCTTACTATTACCAGATTGTTGCCATCGATTCCGTATGAATTGGAATGTGAAATATGGAATCGAGAGTGCCGCGGCCGTCCAGAGAGTAATGAGAGCCCAGTTATGTTGACAGTCCCTGGAGGGACTGACCAAGGACATTCTCGCCGTAGCTGTCGCTCTCGCAGCGGGTTTTTAAAGGAATCGGAGCTGGAGGCAAGGAGCTGACACCCAATTTCTCGAACTTTGACGTGCGTATAGGCCGGGGGGCTGGGAGCTTGCTATGGAGTGACTGATGACTGGCAGGCAACTTGGAAGAGGAATCACGCCTCCTTCTTTGTATGCAGAACCGGGGGAGGGATGGTGAAGGGGCTTGCCGGAGGGCGTTTTGGGGATCGGGCCCTGGCTGTATGGGGTTGACTTTCAGACACGACCCGGCACACAGACAGAGGATCCGCGTGCTGGGTCCTGGGATAAAATAACGAGCCCCGGTGCCAGGCCTCGGTGTGGAGATAGATACATATCATACATAGTACGTCTGTAAATTCTTATTCTTTTGTCATTGGGAGCATCGCCAAGCTCCACAACCTTGGCCCTGGTATAACTAGTCCGAAGTGGCGCCTCGGCTGTCTCATCAAGCTTCGGTGGAACGGTAAGTAAGGGTTCCTGGGAGGTTCGAATTGAAGCGGCTTTCGCTGCACCCGGGCTGCTGCACTACCAGCTCCGAGCAGCTCAGATTTAAGGGCCTTGGAATGGATGCTGATCGCCATGATCGTCCAACGCTGGCCGGTCACCGACTCACCGCCGAAACCCTGGGCACAAGCGGGAGCTGGAGCAAGCTGGACCTGGGCGTGGCTTGGAAGCTATTCCCAACTATCCCCAACTCCCGCGCTGCGGTCAGCACCACACGCGCGCACCAATATCAATCCTGCACTTTCGGGATGCGGGATGCGAGGGATGCAGCAATGGAACATCAGGACCGTTATCGCTGTTTCCAGTGCTAACGGCGATGCTCTTTGGCTGTAATTGTAGCTCAGGCTTTATCTCATTCAAGGCCTTCGTCAAGGTAATGGCAAACCCCTCTGGATACGTCAACCCGCCCGCCCAATCCTTGGAGCAATCGCTTCTCATCATACGGGGGACATACTACGTACATATATACCCCAGGATTGGATGTGATGGATTTATTTTTGCGCGGGGTCAATAGAACGCACCTGGCGCTTTGCCTGCGTTTACTGCAGTCACTGCAGTTCTTTAACCGTCGGTATACTTCTTCGGGCAATGGCTTATTGGCATGCCAATCCGTTGAAATATTATCTATAAATATTCGCTGTAACTCCCAACCTCCTCGCTGGTTGCGATCGCCTTCTACTTTGCTTCCCGATTCTCGCCTGAAGTTGGTTGCTTTGGCTGCCCTGTTCTGGCCCTCTTCAGTTCAGTTTCTCCTACATCAATAAACAATCCTCAACACCGTGGTCCACTCTTTGGGATCCTGTGTCCTATCGCAGCTTGCAATGTTTATCTCGCTGCTGGTCAACTAAACCTAGCATTCCACTCATCATGGCGATCACCAATTATGCCGAAAAGGACGCTGTTGTCTCCGCAGACACCAGCGAAGAGAAAATGGCCCACAGCGAAGCAGTGCCCGAGAAGGACGTTGCTGTCAATCGCGACTATGCGGGTGCCGCTCCAAAGACTGATCCAGCGGAGATCCGTCTGGTCCGCAAGCTGGATTTTAGAATCATGGTCCGTATATTTCATCTTTCTCTCTTTTACTGTCGCTTTATGTTACTGTATGGTCAACCAGTGGACAGCTAACCATCTGGATCTATCCACATTTGTCCTTACAGCCGATGCTGGTCGTCATGTATTTTCTCAACTACATCGACCGTAACACTCTTGCCCAGGCACGCCTTGACAACCTCGAGAAGGAGCTGGGCATGGAGGGCGAATACCAATTCAACACGACCATTTCCATCCTCTTCGCCGGCTACGTCCTGATGCAGATTCCTAGCAATATGCTAATCACCCGGATTAGGCCAAGCATCTATATGAGCTCGTGGATGATTATTTGGTCAATTGTGTCAGGTTCGTCGCGAATTGGAGAAAATTCTAATATAAAAAGGAAGAAACTAGCGATTGGAATATCCCAATACTCCGTAACTGCGTGAAATGAGAAAAGCAGCTAACTCCTCATCCAGCTTGTACGTCCTTGGTCAAGTCTTATTCTGGCATGGTGGTATGTCGTTTCTTGCTAGGGGTAACTGAAGCACCGGTGTGTACATACGACTTCCTCCCCTGCCCTTTGATTCTAGCGAGGCCAGACCACGTCTAATCATTTCATTGTGTAGTTCTATCCAGGCGCGACATATCTTCTGGCCATATTTTACACTCGAAAAGGTTCACTGGCCTTCTACTTTCCACCTATCAGGCGTTATGTATCTTCCATAAGCCATTGCCTAACGCACATGTTTCTATAACAGAGGTTGCAGCTCGAATTGCCGTTTTGTATTGTGCACAGATCCTTGCAACAGGATTTGCTGGTTTAATTGCTGCGGGAGTATTTAAGGGTCTGGATGATGCAAGAGGCCTCTCTGGCTGGAGATGGTATGTGATCACATGCATTATTTCTCGAGCACTGAAATAATCCAACTAAAAGAACCTCCCCCATCTACCCTCGCCTCCTAGGCTATTTATCATCGAAGGCTGCACGACCACTGCCGTGGCGATAGGGGGGTTCTGGTTTTTACCAGATACCCCCAGCACAACCCGCTGGCTCAATACCAGCGAACGTGAACTCGCCCACGCCCGAATCGAACGGGATAAAATGGGTGAGGAATCAGCCAAGATCTCAGCCCTGGAAGGCCTAAGGCAAGCAGTTAGGGACAAGCGCACATGGATCTTCTGCCTCATGCAAAACTTCCACCTGGCAGCCTGCTGTTTCAACAGTTTTTTCCCAACGTATGTAGACAACCCCGACCCACCCCAATACAGATAACACATCTGTTGAAACGAAAGCCAACCCCTCACAAACCAGCGTCGTCAAAACCCTCGGTTTCCCCAAGACGGAAACCCTCCTCCTAACATGCCCGCCGTTCATCTTCGCCGCCGCCGCCGCCATATTCACGGGCTGGAGCTCTGGGCGCCACCACGAGCGTACCTGGCACATCACCGGGGGTCTCAGTGTCGCAATAGTCGGATTCATAATCGCCTCGTCAACCCTCAACACGGCCGGGCGCTACGTCGCATGCTTCATCTTCCCCATGGGCGCATACTCGGTCAACTCCGTAATCATCGGCTGGGTGTCGTCGACGCTGTCGCAGACGCGCGAGAAGCGGGCCGTGGTGCTGGCGATGCATAACGTTGCGGGCCAGATTGGGTACATCTACGGTGCGTACGTGTGGCCGAATTACGACAGGCCGCGGTTTGCGATTGGGTTTGGGGTTTCGGCTGGGTTTGCGTTTGGGGCGATTGTGTGTGCGTGGTGGATGCGGACGTTGTTGAAGAGGGAGAATCGGAGGTTGAAGGAGGTGACGGGGGATACGATTGTTAATTACTACGGGTATTGATAAAAGGAAGAGAAAAGGGGATTGTTGGGACGGTTTTCTGTCATTTTAATTTTCAATTTTCAATTTTCAATTTTTTCTTAAATTTTCTGCCTAGTCTTTTCCTTCGTGCAGCGTTTCAATTTCAAATGAAATGGAATTTCTATTTTGTATTGAATATTTCATGGATCGGGCAGTAGTGATGACGTTGGATGAGCTATGGAGGGGGAAAACGGAGGAGGTTAGCTATGCATCAGCCCTCCAAGCACAAAAACTGGGGAAGGCTTGGCCGGGCGGCGTAGAAGGAAGCCGAGGATTGCCGCCTCACCTATCTCTTCCTTAAACTAACTACATAGAACATAGTAGTCATGCTCCTTCTTCCAGATTGATTGAGGCCTTGGTTGGTTGTTGGATTTGATTTGATTTGGTTATACAATTCAATTATCAAGACATACAATGACACAATCATCCATTGTGAACTCAGAAAATCCCATTCATAATAAATCTATCTAGTGTGTGCTCTCAGGGTTGAAGTAAGGAAGGTCCTGTCAAATTTGTTGCTGCATTCACACTTGTCTATTTTGGGCAGAGGGACGTTATGTTGTCTTATTCATAGTATCATCATGTTCTGTATTCATTTGGTCAAAGACTTTTCAAAAGCCCAATCATGTAGATTTCATACTTCGTAATTGCCAAACGCATTGAAAAATCCGCCCGTGCAGTTTCTCCAACCAGGTACGGCACTTTTTGACCTGTCTCCTTTCTCCTGCGCCGGATCATGATCCTCGTTAATCATCGACGGGGGCAGGGATGGGTGAAGAATTTCTGGGGTTGGCGGGGGTGAATTCATATATATTTGATTATCGCTTGTATGGCCATGTCGTGCATGCATTGGGGTGTTTCCTTCTTTCGTTGTTTTGGTTCGTTGAAATCCATATGGAGTGGGGTAGTGGGAGATGCGCGCATGGGTTATGGATATAAAAGGGTTGCAACGACCACTCTACGTGATGTGACGCAATGCGGCACAATCACAATGCGACGTGGTAAGGGTGATATAAGCAGGGGAAATCTGTATCTGGTGCATAGTTCACATTTTAGATTTTAGAATCCGGAGGAGCAAGTTGTCTACACAGGCTGCGGAGGAGAATCGAGTGATGGAGCAGTTGTTGAAGTCCCTGCGGATGCGTCCATATAAAATTGCATCGTATCCCGTCCCCAATTAATTCCTGATGTTTGACCTTTCCCCTCCGCATATATCTCTATGAATGATAGTTCCGCCCTAGTTGCTTTCCTCGTGGTTTCTTGATTACCCCAACCTTTCTCAATTGTAGCTGCCAAAACCCCGTAAAAAGTAATAGCATCCCTCCCAACAATGCATCTCATCACCTCCCTCCTCACGCTTACCGCTATTGCCACCCAAGTCTCCGGGCATGGCCTCGTCAAGTCTCCCGCAGCCCGTGTTCCTGGTGATGCCGCTGCTGCTGTGTGCGGTCAAACCATGGTAAACTTCTACAAAGCAGACAACACCTCGTACCCTGAAGCGTTGATTCGCGCCGGCGGGACCAAAGACCCCAAATACAACCCAAAACTCTGTAATCTGTGGCTATGCAGAGGGTACCAGTTCCAAGACAATGCCGATCATGTCTTTGAGTACAAACCCGGCGATAAGGTCCCTATCGAGGTCTTTATCCGGGTCCCACACTTGGGATACGCGAACGTGAGCGTCGTGGACACGATGAAGAACGAGGTTGTGGGGGAACCACTGAAGGCTTGGAAGGAGTACGCTGATCCAGCGAAGTTCCCGAATCTGCCGGAGGATCAGGTGAAATTCAGTGTTACGGTGCCGGATCTGATGGGAAAGTGTGCGAAGCCTGGCCGATGTGTATGTTCTGCTATCAGTTTTCTTCATTCTGTTGCTGTTTCTCCAATGGGATTGGCTGGCTGGTTGAAGGAATATGACTGCGTGATGCTAATCGATAAATGCGACTAGGTGATTCAATGGTATTGGCTGGGTGCTAAACAGACCTATGAGTCCTGCATCGATTTCACACAGATGGCCCCGGAAGCTCCTAAGATCCGAGGTCGCTCGTAGAGGCTGTAAATGCGGTTTACCACGCATTTTGATGGGTGGAGGATGTTTCTCCTAACTTTCTGCCGGGATACTCTATTCGTTGACTTTTGTATGTAAGGAGTGATGTTGGAAAAGCAGAGGGTTGCTTGAAATGGGGCGGGAGTGAGGCTCCATTCAGGGAGCTAATCGGGAAATAAGTGGCATAGTAAATGTAAGTATATGATGGAATATGAAACGGAATGGAAAAGGGAACAATGTACATGGCATGTAGAAAAAAAAGAACAGAGTTGTGAAAAAAATGAAGATGTCCAAGTAAAATTGGTACAAGAACGTTAATATAAAATTACGCTTGACATTTCAGATCTTAACGTCATGGAAGCGTGCGTCGCGCACACACACGGGAAGGAAGATCGACCATCAGTAGCTGCAACAGCACTGTGACGAGGCGTAAATACTGTAGGGGGAAAGTATGAAAAGTGAATATGGAAAGTATCCTCAAGAGAAACCCGGTGGATGACCCAAAATCCAAAGGAAAACAAAGCATACCGTACATGATCCGATAGTCAAAGGATCTCCAAATCCTCAAACTCCACAACCAGACCGTCGAGTCCTACTCCACCAGGCCCGTCATCTGCTGAACGATTACCTGTGCTACTTGCACCCACACCATCCCCTTATCCCTACCCTTGGATGAATTGATTCCCATTCCTCGTTTTCCAAGTGGTACTACCCATCGAGGGTAGTTGGTACCAAACCCAGAGGGAATGGGCGATGCGCTCTGACAGAGAGAAGTGATACTCGTGGGCTGATGCGGCATGGCGAGAGGAGAAAGACACCAGTCCGCGCTGTCGGCCATCGCACTGACGGATGAGGCATCTACCGTTCCAGCAAAGAATTCGAGTCCAGCTTTTACCATTCGCAGGGAGTGGTGTGGCAGTTGGGTGCGGATAGGGGGGAGGTACTGTACTTGTGCTGCTTGATGTTGTCGAGGCGGCCGGTCAGTTTGACTGCTCGTAACTGTACGAGCATCACTCTCATTTTTCGTGCGGTTCGTATGCGCATGTCGGTTGTTGCTGTCATTGCTGTCACGATTAGTAGTTGATGGCGATTGTGCTTGTCGCGGTGCTGGACGAAGCTGTGGAGCTTCCGTGAGATGCATAGCCCAGCACTTAGCAAAAACATTCAATTCACACCATATGGATCAGGAGTACAAGTTCATGTACATGTACATGGACCACAACTCTACCCATACTCTGACATTTGCTACTTGGCTCCATCGAAGTATTTGATTCTGCCAGGTCCCCGGCTTGCTAAATGTCCTGAATTCCCACCTCCACTGTCTGGATCCTTTTATTGCGCCCTCTGCACTGCATTCTAGTTTCATGAATGGACACGAATCCGGCATTGAGATTCCCATTTAGGTCCAACCATGGTGCAAAAACTCGCCCCAACCCCCCCGGATCCCTCGCACAACAACAGTTCTTTTACTCCCCCGGTGATTCTGCTACAGATTTAACTGCGGTAATATCTTGTCGCCATTCCTCTTTGGAAAATTCAATTTCCCATCATGTTACCGATGTCGAAAACACATCTCTCCGATCAAATAAATAGCCAATTAGCACCTAACCGATCAAAATCCGCCGCCCAGTCCCCGTCGTGTTGATATTCGCGTCTCCAAATAACATCCAACATGCGCATGGCCTCTCGTATATTTAAAGTCCAGCACTGGCGCCACATCTGGTCTAATTTATCATGGAACCAAGTTCTCTGCTCTGGACAGCGGCATTCCGCACCCGCTATAAATGTCGGCCACAATATACTCTTAAACAGTTCAGATGTCGGAGGGATGAGGGAGAGGTGGTTTAGTACTATAGTGACCTGCTCCGCAAAGAAGGTGCATTCGTCAGGCGACGGGTGCAAGAGGATCCGGATAGCATAAATGGTGATGGTAATTTTATATGCTGAAGCAAGGTGGTAGAGCGCATCCGAGTTTGAAAATGGAATGTTACTGTCCGTGGAATCAGATGATTCAAGAACAGGAGGAGTGCGCCAATGAGATCCCCTTGATAAATGGTGGTCAGAGACCTGATACTCCGTGCCAGTATACAGGGAAGAATAAATATCTCGCGTCCAACGTTCTGGGTCGAAAGCATTAATTTGAGATAAAATGGTGGAGATATTTACTCTCGGCGCGAGGGTTTGTGGTGAACTTGCTGTATGCCGTAGGGATGAAATGTAAAGGATTATGCGGAGCAGGGAACCCGGACAACCAAGCCAAACTTTTTTCTCAGTATCTGATAGAAGATTTGGTGATGTTATAAGATGTGATGATATCGGTTCAGACCAACTCCCGGACGGAGTGAGAGTGGAGCCCATGATGTCGAAACTTTGACGACGAATCGCGTTAGTCAAAACACATCCCTCTCTATATGCTGATCAAGGGCGAGACGTATAGAACTCAAGAAGAGGGTTAATGCCATTTATACGCACGTCAGACAGCTTCCTGCTAGGAACATATTAAAGCCATCGTAGATTGCACGAGGCAATGGTGACGCCCCATCCGAGGCCTTCGCTAGCAGCGGGAAAATACGACCCTGGAGCAGCTTCTTGGCACCTTCGACATGGAGTTTCCAAGTCCCGCGCCCTGATTCTACCATGTCAAGAACCATTAGGAGAAGTGCGGAAGCAATTGGTGCATCTTCTCCTCGCGTCTTGGGATTTGACAAGGTTTGCTCCAGTTGACAAAGCGCTCGATGCTTCAGAAGTAACAGATGCTGATATGCAACTCGTACATTTGGATTAGGCGAGCGCGCGAATTGTTCGCCATCCTCTAACAGCGATCCTTTGCTTTTGCAGGAGCGCTCGACCGGCTGCGATTGGTCTGAATAGTGAAGAATGTGTAAATGGTGACATGCGCCGATTGCAGCCATTGCGGCGCACAAACCAGAGGAAACATTAACCATCTGAATAAGACGGCGATATGGATTGTTGTGAGGGACTTCGAAGAGTACCATCAGTTTACAAAAATTGCGATCAACTGCCGCATCTGTCAGCAAAACTTGATTTGTGAAAAGGTTAACTCAACGGCAGGTACTTACAATAGGTGAGGTAGTGTCTTGATATTTTGTCCAAGCCTTGGAATAGCGGATCTATCAATGTCGGTGGGATAGGGGGGTTGTATTCACTTTCTCCTTCATTCCACCGACCGCTTGAGTTCGATTCCGGAAATGCCACACCTGATCGTGGGCATTCTTCCACGACATTGGAGACGACTAACGATGACGACCACGAGCTTAAGCACCCGATGTTGCAGGGTAAACCCAGGGACGTCTGGACTAAACCCAAGCCGCCAGTGGAGACAGAATCTGCAGGTTCGTTTCCCCCAGGCAGAACAACGCCATGCACTGGGTAACCTGGAGAGGACTTCTTCGCTGTGACGTTGCCGAATGTCAAGCCCATCATCTTTCCCCGGCTGGCAATTCCCCGCACCCAAGTAATCGGTTTTGTATACCCCAAACATGCCTTCTGCGCTTTATCGCACTTTTGGCAAGTTGGAAGCAGCCGATCGCATGTCACCCGTCGGCGACGACAGGTATAACATGGACCCGCTGAAAATTTTTTGCTGCCGGTGGGAATTTGCGGCGGTGGGGTCTTGGAAGTTGTCGACCCCAAAGAGAGCATGCTCCTTTCCCCCAGATCGACTCCGCAATCGACATCATTCCCACCCATCAAACCAGAATCACACTACCGCATATCAAATTAAGATCAATAGGGAAGGACTCGGGAGAACAGATCCAAAATCATTCACAAGGGATCCAGATCAACAATGGATGAAGTTAAGATATCTCGCCACTCGAATGATAACGACATCGGCACCGACCGACAAGGCCGAGTTAGGGCTTGCATCTTGGCTGCCTCCTTGGGCTTAGTGTCCCGGCGCCGTTGGTGGCTGAAGCCCCTCGGCAATGGAAAAGGTTCTCGGCAAACTCACGCAAAAAGAGCCGCGCTTGGCATCAAACCTTACTTTAACCGGACCAAACCCTCCGCTTGGCTTCCTTTCTCGGTGCTAGTCGCCAGAATCGTGTGTTTGAAGGAAGTTATTGACCCACTCCTGAAAATAGCATTTGTGTGTTTTTTGGGTTGTACTTTTGTATATATAGACCTGCTCGGTATCTCGAATCAAAATGGAGGCTTCATCGGTCACTCGGTCGTTTCGGTGTATTTTCATGACATGCACGCAGTGTTACCCTCAGTTCTACGGTCATGCCGCCGACAGTTCCGGTACTTTCTCGCGTTCCAACTCATGGAGAGCGCGCTCGTTCTGCCACTGAACATCGAAATGATTCGCAGCCCCAGGTACATCCTACTCAGCAGGATGAGCAAACTTTGGCGGACCTGCATCGAACGTTAACTGAGTTCTCCGAGGGGAAACACACCCAGTACGCTGAGCCACATTCAACCCTTGACAAATACTTAAGGGAACACGGTGTGAAGGTTGAAGCCGGCGAACCGCTTGGTCGACTCGGAGTATGTTTCAAGAACTTGTCGACTTGGGGAATGCGGAACGAGCATGCGCAGGTGAAAACTTTAGCACATGCTGTATGGCGGACATGTACCTTTCAAGACGTCTACGAGTGGACTGTCAAACGGTGGATTGCTCCTCCGCGGCTGCAAGATGGGAGACCCCTCATCAATGATTTTTCTGGGGTTGTACGCTGTGGAGAGATTATGTTGTATGTAACTCCTAGCCGTGTGGCAGCCTTCAACAGAATTAAAGCATTGATATTTTTCTCTCAAGGGTATTGGGGCGTCCAGGTGCAGGCTGTTCGACGTTTTTGCGAACTATAGCAAACCACCACTCCTCATTTTTAGGCGTGACCGGGTCGCTTGATTATTCCGGGCTCAAGCCGAAGGATATTTCGAAATATTTCAGGGGCGAGGTTGTTTATATCCCGGAAGAGGATAATCACTTTCCCACTTTGACTGCGCGCCAGACATTGGAATTTGCCTTGGAAACCAAGACTCCAAAAAGATTAAGGCATAGAATCTCGGAGATGTTGGAGATATATGGTCGAGTTTTCGGCATATCTCACGCTATGGACACTCTTGTTGGAAATGAATATATCCGCGGTATTTCCGGAGGTGAAAGGAAACGGCTGTCAATAGTCGAGTCTTTGGCCACTGATTCGGCCGTCGCTGCGTGGGACAATTCTACTAGGGGTTTGGATGCTGCCGCTGCAGTCGATTATGCTCGCAGCCTTCGAATCATGACGGATACTTGTGGCAAAGCGACCATCGTGACGCTCTACCAGGCATCTGACGCCGTTTACAACTTTGCCGATAGGGTTATGATCATCGATGAAGGCCGTATGTTATACCAGGGGCCTGCGAACAAAGCCAAGTCATATTTCGAGAACTTGGGCTACAAGTGTCATCCTAGACAAACGATCACCGATTTCCTGACTGGTATAACATCTGACCGAACGAGAGCTTTTCGGGATGGGTATGAGACACGCGCTCCAAAGGGCGCAGTTGAGTTGGAAAAAGCGTTCAAGGAAAGCGAATATTTCAAGATCATCCAGCAGGATATCCGGAATTACGAAGCGGAGCTTTCCCGAATGCATCAAACTTGCGAGTCCAGCAACAGTTTGGAGAGCTTCAAAGCCATTTCTCGGCAGAAGAAATCCCGTTTCGTTTCTGCCAAGTCAGTTTACAACACTTCGCTGATAAAACAAGTTACTCTTTGCACGAAGCGTCAGTGGTGGCTTCTTAAGGGATATCCTTCACATCTGTACATGAAACTGGCAAGCTCAATTGTCCTGGGACTTTTGATATCGTCCCTATTTTACGACCTTCCAACGAATCTGCAGGGTGCTTTTTCCCGAGGAGGTCTCGTCTTTTATAGTATTCTCACCTTGCCATGGATACAACTAGCTGAACTCGAGGATTCTGTTCATGGTCGTGATATCATTAGCCGTCAGAAAAGATTCGCTTTTGTGAGACCAAGCGCGGTTGCGTTTGCTCGTACCCTGTTCGACTTCGTTACTGTCTTCGTAATGACGGCTGTATTCTCTATAATCGTTTATTTTATCGCAGGCTTGAAAATGGAGGCAAGTTTCTTAGCTGCTCACTGAAAATTCCCTACCGAAAGTCTCACTTCACTGTGTTGCTAATACACATTGTATATAGGCTGGAGCCTTTTTCATATTCTTCCTCATTTCATACCTACACACTGTTTGCCATACTGCGCAATTCCGGTTATTTGCATCTTTCTCAAGTTTCGAAGTTGCTCTGCGATACTGTGGCGTGGCATTCCTAATGGCGATTACTTACGGTGGCTACCTGCTTCCTCTAAACCAACTCACTACTCGAGTGCCTTGGGTTGGATGGATCGCGGTAGGGAGACCAAATGTATGCTCAAGCTCTTTTCAAGCTAACCATGTTTCATAGTATACTACACCCGCCCTCTATGCATTTGAGGCATGTATGGCCACCGAGTTTCATAACCTGCAGCTTTCATGCGAGCCAAGGTCGATTATCCCTTCAGGTCCTGATTATACAGATACACTATACCAGACTTGTGCGGGCGCAGGGAGTTTACCAGGACAGCTCAAAATCGGCGGTGACGCATACCTAGCCGAAAAATATGGTTTTTATTATCATAACGTGTGGAGGAACTTTGGTATTTTAATTTTGTTTATCGTAGTGTATACCGCTACTAACGCCTGGCTTTGCGAGGCCATTGAGTGGGATGACGGCTCTGCTGGTGCTGTTTCATTCAACCGGAAGAGGAAATCTCCATTCAGTGCCGCAGCTAGTGATGAGGAAAATAGGGCATTCGATGTCGATCACCAAGCTCCTCCGGCGACGACAAATGTGGACATTGCTGGTACCCCCTCCGAACAAATTGCAACAACGCAATCAGCATTCGCATGGCGAAATTTGACATACACTATCCGTCAAGGTGACTCGGACCGGGTTCTATTAAATGACGTTTCTGGATATTGCCAACCCGGGACGCTGACTGCATTAGTCGGCTCATCTGGTGCTGGTAAATCAACATGTAGGTAGATCTACTCAGTCACTGGTAATTAGTTCCAAATGGGTAATTGACACTTTTCCTAGTGCTAACCACACTTGCTCAACGCCAGAACACTGGCACGGTAACTGGCGATATAATGATTAACAGTCAAACTCCTGATGTCAGCTTTCGTCGAAAAATTGGGTATTGCCAACAGATGGACATTCATGATAAAACAAGTACCATCCGGGAAGCGTTCGAATTTTCGGCATTACTCCGTCAGGGAGCTGACATATCACGCAAGGAAAAAGTTGCTTATGTGGACATTATATTGCATATTCTGGAACTTACAGAGTTGCAAGATGCGGTAATAGGCTCTCTTCCGATAGAGCAAAAAAGGAGGACGACGATTGGTGTTGAGCTTTGCGCCAAACCAAGCCATCTTCTGTTTTTAGATGAACCTACCAGCGTACGTCGCTGCCCTTCCCTTCCCTTCCCTATCATCTTGTACGTTGAAAATAACACTCGTCAGCAATAGGGTCTCGATAGCGAAGGTGCCTTCAGCATCGTTGTATTGTTAAGGAAACTCGCGGATGCAGGCCTTGCCATTTTGTGTACTATCCACCAAGCAAGTCATCAACAAATTGAAGTCGTGCGTAGTCGCTTCCTATCCTCTGGCACCCTTGGACTTTAGCTAAACATAATTACAGTTCGATCGAGTTCTAGCTCTCAACCCCGGAGGCAATGTCTTTTACTTCGGAGAAGTCGGGCCATCTGGGAAAGCTATTTGCGATTATTTTGGGCGTCATGGTGTTTTCATTGAAGATGAAAAGAATGTTGCTGATCTGCTAATTGAGGTTGGTGTCGGAGTATGTAAAGTGAAAGGGAAACAATCGGACTGGAATGAGATATGGAAACACTCACCTGAGGCATCCAAAGTGCAGGAAGAAGCCGGTATCATTTGCAGCCGCAAAAATGGTGAGCATGTTATCGATCAAATAAGGGATAAGGAGGAATTTGCCTCAACGACATGGGAACAAATTGTTGAACTCACTAAGCGCACGAGTCGGCATTACTGGCGTTCACCCGAGTACCCCTATTCGAGACTCTATGCATCAGCCATCCACGCTTTGCTCAACGGCCTCACCTACCTCCAGATCGGAAACAGCGAGACAGATATGCAATCGCGAGCTTTTTCCTGTTTCTTGATTCTTATGCTTGTCCCTGAATTTGTTAATGGAACATCAATGAAATTCACTGAGAATCGGGACATGTGGGAAGAACGCGAATATCCCAGCAGAATATATGGATGGATCAGTTTCACAACCGCTCAAATCCTATCTGAGCTACCATACGCACTTGCTGGGGGTGCCATTTTTTATCTCCTTTTCTATTACGCTGTGGGACTCCCTCTCGGTGTTCCTGCCGGATATACATTTCTTATGGTCCTCTTTTTCCACCTTTTCTCAACATCCTGGGGACAATGGATTGCTGCAATGAGGTACGTGCTCCCAATTCATAACAAATAAAATTATAGAATACATACCGGGGAAAAAGCCACGCTAACGAGCGTCATCCAGTTCTGACGCTGTCATGGCTGCCAACCTCATGCCGTTTTTCCTTATCATGTGCGAGTTGTTCAATGGCGTGCTACATCCTAAGGAGGAAATGTCTGTTTTCTGGGCTTACACCATGTATTACTTGGCGCCATTTACATATTGGATTGGGGGAATTCTTTCGATGATCATGAAGGGTGCCAAAGTTACCTGCACTGCGAGCGAGTTGATTACTTTTCACGCTCCCCCAAACCAAACTTGCGTACAGTATGCGGGCTCGTGGATTTCTTCGGCTACGGGATACCTGGCAAATCCTGATGATATGGGAAACTGCCAGTATTGTTCTTACAAATACGGGGACGAGGTTGGTAACACATTTACCTTCTCTCTCTTGCTCTCTTTCTTCATATCTTTTATCTTGATTCGTTTTTATTTTCCCTTCTTCTGTCTCTCCCCTTTTCTTCCGTTCTTCCTTCCAGCAAAGGTCGTAGAACTAATCGATATAATAATTCATCCAGTACCTCGCCGAAAATAACCTCTCCGCATCCAAGAGTTGGCCATATCTAAGCATCTTCGTCGGCTTCATGATCGCCAATTACTTCATTGTGTATCTGCTCGTTTATGTCTATTCAGTGAAGAAACTGTTTAAGAGGTCGAAAAGCTGACTCTCCACAATCGTTATTCCCGGTGGAGATCTCTTGATTACATGCATTAAAATCCCATTCGCTGTCTCCGTGGACTGCTGGAAAGCTACTGCTATCATTGCCTTAGCCAGAACTATGTTTTAAATTTTGCCTTCGAAGCGTGGGAAGCACAATCTACAAATTTCTTGAAATTAGGTGATTCACTACTCTCTCATATCCCCTCACATGTCTGAATCGTGACTAAACTGTAGGATAATACCATTTCAACATTTCCAGAGTATGTATATCGAAAGGCAAACAGATAGACATGTCGTACATCCATCGGAAGAGTAAACCATAAAACGCTCCTCCTCCGTTTTGCTGTATACCGAAGATAAATAAAGATCAAAATATTTTCCCCCATTATTCCACAAGGTGTCTCGAGGCCCTGCTCGGAGACAGCAGGAACAGGGTAAAACAAAGCATTTGGACTTGAATTTTCTAAGTGGTAGTCCATCCACTAGGTTTTCAATTTTGGAGGGTTGGGCTGGTTGTGAGAACGGGGACAGGAGGAATACCATACAACATAAGGCAAAAGGAAAATGCTGGAAGAGCGATGATGTATAGAACGGGTAAACTGCAATATATAAGAAGTACAACATGAAAACTTGGGACACCCAGTCCGGACATATAAATGCTACGGATATTTCCTCCAAAAAAAATCGTTAAAACAAAAAGGCGAAGGGTAAAGAAAATGGACCCCCAGAGCTCAGAATATACAATGATAGAAGATAATTTTCCATGAAGGGCCCACGAGCACAAACCCAGAATCTAGAATCCAGCGCGCCTAAAGAGCATAAAGCCCCAAACCAAATTAACAAAGAAAGGCTCAACTAGATGACCCAACCCTAGCCCTCTTCCGCGCCCCACTCCCGGCCCCAGTTCCTATCCCACTCCCATCTCCACCACCATCCCCAATCACAATCGGCTCTCCGCTCGCAATATCCTGCATAGGAAATGAAACACTGTTGGTACTCCCATTTCCAGTGTCTCCAGCTTCTGACACACGCATTATCGACGCAAGGTTAAATACAGGGTCATCCCAGACGTGCCTGATTGACTGCTGGCGCTGATGAGGGTGAGGGTGCGGGTGGGGGTGGGGGTGTTGCTGTGGCTGCTGGTGGCTTTGATGATGTGTTGAGGATGTCAAGCCAGGGGCGATATGCTGGTTGCTGTTTGTACCGTTGTCAGGAGCGGGGTGTGGAGGGAAGGCATCGGAGATGCGGTCGTAGGGGTGGGCGAAAGGGCTTGAGAAATCGATGTCGAAGGTGTTTAGGAACGAAGGGGAGGTCGCGGACATTGCTAGGCGGGAGAGGCCGGGAGATTGCATGTCTGTTTGTGGATGTGGGAGTGGTGGTTGTGGCTGCAACTGTGGTCGTGAAGGGTTTTGTATTTGAGTATCTGGGGTGGATAGATTGTTTGGGGACGGATGTGGATATATTGAATGTGGGAGGAATTGGGGAAATTGTGCAGGAGGAGTGGTAAGGGACGGTGATGGATTTGATGACGAGGGTGTATGTGCGATGTCCACTGACTGACGGTGCTGCCGTTGCTGCTGCTGATGTTGTTGAAGCTGCTGCTGTAAAATCAGCGGAGGTGGTTGGTTCCATACCTCGGGCTGGTCAGTTTGCGATGAAGTTGAATCTGATATCTGGGAATTATCTGAAAGAGCCGTTGATATACAACGTAAATTATCAGACCGGACTTTCTCTCCGTCTCGACCAGCCGCCACAAAGGCATCTAGAAGATCGACACAGGTTAACAACGATGTTCTTGCATCATCTCGGGATTTCATGGATAGCTCAATCTTTTGATTCCCATTTCGAAATTCATGCATCCCGAATAAGGATAGCAACCCACACGTCCATAGAGTGTAGACATGAGAACCGGGATTGACATCGAACACCAGTAAAAATCGCCGGGAATGAGAGTTCAAAAATACAAGGTCTTTAGCGATATCCATACATTTCACAAGCGAGATGCAATAGTGTGGTTGCGATGGAAAGAACGAGAGCGCAACCCGATGAGCGGAAAGACGAGTGTACTGGTATGATATATGTAAGAAAGCGATTGAAGGCTCAATAAGTGTACGAGTATCACCAAAAGCTGGCGGAGGTTGGGAAAATGGAGTTGAGTCCAATTGAAGGTGATCTGGAAGGGTATGGATCCACTGGTCGAGTAATCTGTCTATCGTCTTGATTTTGGTGACAGTTTGCCTTCTATCAGTGGTCGTGTAAAGAATTTCAAGGGTATTGGAAAGAATTCGAACAACTTCGATCAGCGAGACGAACGTCAGCATCCCAGTAGGCTCGCCAGGTAATGAAAGTAAATAGCCGCTTGAGTTAACGAAATCGTCGTCGACATCTGAGGGATGCTCGACATCGATATCCTGATCACGAAAGGATTTCGGTAGCCCATGAATAGCGGATACAAAACTATAGGCATTTTTTTTTTAAATTTATATAAGACGTGGTCAAATCATCACCACAAGAAATATAATGAAGAAGGGACTAACTCACTTATCAAGCATATAACAAACCCAAAAAACCCTCTTCCTTAATTCAGTCTCTAACGGACCGAATTGAAATCGCCTCGTGTGCCGATGCAGTCCCAGTTCAAGCGCGAGGCGAGTCATACTCCCAGTCACTTGAAACGCCAGACTGCGCTTTCCAGTGTATAAAAACCACAAGGTCTGCAGTTCTTGATACTGCAAGGTAGTGAGATTATTCAACGCTAAAATATCATTGTGATATTTAGATGACTGGCTGTAATATTCAATATCTTCCTGGTTGCTCTTCACAGTGGGATTTCCTCCGGTCGCATCTCCAGTGAGGAAAAGGTGGCGGCAGCCAAGCGCCAGTATAAGATAAAATATTCCTAGAACAGGACGTCCATGTTCAGGAGAAGGGCTATCATAGAGTTGGTGGAGTGAATTCGCGAACGACGGGCGATGCAAAATGGGAAAGATGTGCCTCCAAGCATTGAACCAGACATCAATGTACCGCTCAGCAGTTTCGCGGGGAGGTAGCGGGGTCAAAGTCGCCGCAGAGTCAACAACATGGTGAATGGGATAGTCGGTCGTCTGATCATCCACATCGACTCTAAGCAGCGAATCCCCAATTTTCTTCGCGGAATGATTGGGGATATTGGCGAGACGTTGCTCAGCGGTCCCTATAAAGAATATTCCAGATGAGGATCCCATGAAACGCCCTATCCCCCTTCGATCAAGATTCATGCGTCCGACTTCTCGAGAAAGAGGTTCGTCCGTTGGTGGTCTTGGGCTAAGCTTTGGCACACTCTCAGGGCGATTGGCCGTCGTCGAAAAACCAACTTGCCTCGGAGAAGATGCATTCGCACCCAACGCTTCCAGTTCCTTAATGCGCTTATCTTTGTTCTCATTACCCACCCTTAGCTTATGGACCTCCGCTTCCAGCTGTCGTAGGCGTTCCTCAATAGATTCAGTATAGCTAGTGTGCCATGACAATCGCCATTTAGCCATAAATCTCATTCCCTATTAGAATTGACACTATGCACTGTCCGCCCTCACATACCTTCTTGGGTAAGACTTGCGGTTAAGTTTGACCGTGGTAAGACACTCGAGGCCTGCCGTTTTACATCTCCCACACTATATTGTAGCAGCAAGCCATAAGCTAATGCACAAAAGAGCGTCATTGGATAAAACGAATGAAAAGGCCGATTAGACATACAGTTGGAACCGCGCCATCGCATCGAACCTAAGCAAGACAATGAGCGAGCATTTCGTGTGTCAGCGATCGCGTCTCCATAAGAATTCCATCCCACCAAGCATCCTACATTACATAAATTCAACCTCATACAAACAAACACCAGCCCAAACCACAAAATCTAACCTTCTTAAACCGACACCTATCACAAGCCTGAATAGCCCTTCCTGTAGAAGTCAACGCAGGCAGGTCCGAAGACTGTTGTCGACCCAACGAGAGATTATGATCGCGCTCATCAACTTCGCCATTAGCATTGGCATTGACATTTGTACTGGTATTAGCATTGGTATGAGGTGTTTCATCCGCCATGTTGTCCGTATCTTTGTGTAGCAACAGCGTTGATATTATATATAGTTATAGTAGTCTTCTGCTTCGAGCGACAGGATCGAGAACATCGCAGTATGCGCAGACAGGTTGTGGAGGCTAATGGCAAGTGGTGGTAACGGCCGCATCTTTGCGAACTATTTAATTGGGATGGTGGTCGTCCCGCGCCACTGTGATTATCCACATCGTTTCTTCTCTGTTTGTGCGTGTGTTTTGTCGTTGTCGTCAAGGTCGTATATACCCTCCAGAGCCTAGAAGTTTAACTTGGTTCAGCGCTGCGGGACGAAGTTAACTTTAATCTCGCCAAACGCTGCATTAGGTTTAGTCTGCAGCCCTTGTGGGGGAGCCGCAGATCACCTGATGGTGGCTTTGTTGGGTAAGCGCGGGACGGACAAAGTTACCAGTTTCCGGGTTTGGGTTATCCATCATCTTGAGGTTTTACCTTGATACTGCACATGCACTAGTTAGAGAGTTTGATAGTTCATTTACACGGACCTGGCATATTCGGAGGCAGTGTTGCCGTCAGTCTATCTGGTAAACCTCAATCAATATTGTTGATCACCAGCAAGTAACTAACTATTGTTCATCAAATCATGATACCATTGGGAGGCCATTTTCAATGAGAAAACAAAATGAGTGAAAATGGGCATAAAAAAAGGTTTTCTTGTAATAGACAGCAAACAACGGAAAATTGGGGAAAAGAGGAAGTCACTATGGGCATTGAAGCCTGGTCAAATGGTAGGTGGTCATTGTATCAGTTTCATCATTGCAAACAATAAGGAGGGGAATAAACAAGCCAAAGGATACATGAAGGGACGGGGGAGGAGGAGGGGAGAAAAAGAACTATGAAAGAAAGAAAAGAAGGAGAATCATAAAAAATGGAAAAGAAAAAGAAAAAGAAAAATGGAAAAAGGGTAATGGTAATGGAAGGAAATGGCGGAACGGAAAGTGGAAAAACAAGGAGGAGAATGGAAAGAGAGGAATATAGCAAATAACAGCTCAGTCCCAACCTTCCATATCAATCCCATCATCTTCAATCTCAATAGTCGTCCCGAGCGCCTCCTTCCCTTCTTTGATCATCGCCTTAAGCTGCTGATTCAACCGACGAATACTAGCGTCTTCCTCGCGTTCGCGCCGTTTCGCCCTCGCCGCCAATCGTTGCGCTTCGATAGAAGCCGGTGAGTTGCCATATTTACTCGGGTTGTTCGATTTGGTGGGTTCACAGGATGCTTGACCATTACTAGATGCCAGTTGATGATAATTAGGATGTTGATGCGAGGGCGAATATGAGGACGGGGTTCGCGTGGGGGTTAGTAGAGATTGTCTCCTGGACAGTCTGCCGACTGCGACTCTTCGGGGTGAAACTGGATGGTTGCTCTTTCGGGCTATTTTGCGAGCCGAGGAAGAATATGCCGAGGAAGGGCTCACATCAGCTCCCTGTCCATCTTCGGCCTTTTTGGCGTTCCGAACCAAGACCCAGTTCGCCTGGAGTTCATCGTGGCAGTCGTGCAAGAGCCGTGCGTTATTATGAGAAGATTCAATCGGGAAACATCCCGGAACCGTAGCGATCCGGTCATCCCGTTTGCCACCAGAAGAGGAAAATACATCAGCCTTCTCATAGACACTCTGCCACGTGCTTGCTTCCTCCACTACTCGCGATGGTAGCGGTGATGGTGGCTGCTGAGCTTCTGATCCCATGTCATACCCCTTCCCTCCTCCCGCATAAAATCCGCGAAACGGACCTGACCAACAGAAGTCCCATACCTTCCCAGCAACACCCCCAACAATTTTCACGACAGCTGCGCCCCAGCTATCATGATTCGTATTGCCGTTATCATAGCGGGAGCCATCTGGACTTAACCCGTCATCTCGTTCTTGTAATAATGACTCGCGTCTACCTCTTTTCCTCGTATTCCCATTCCAGTCCCTGCCAGCCCCAACAGGCGGCAAAAACCCTAGTGAAGGGCTATCGATAGGTGCATGTATCATCTCCCGGTAGCGATTAGGTCTATAATCCACCTCGGGCCCATATGCCTCATCGCCTGATTTTTCAAACCCGGACATCGTCATCATTGTTGACGAGTAGTCAACATCACCAGCAAAACGATAGTCAGTGTTGACCAGCGGTGTGGGGCTAGCGATACGAGAGAAGGAAGATGCTGTCGTAGCTGTGGACATCATCGAGTGGTTCCCCCACATACTCACAGCCGCAGCTGTGACAGGAGTACCATTTTCTAAGCTGCTTGTGCCAAAACCACCGCTGACATCGCCATTCATCTCGTCATACCCATGTCTGGCCCGTTTGCGGCTTCCCTGGTGCTCCTGCCCGACAGAGCGGCAGAGGGAGGACGCTGCGGAGGGTGTCTGCGGGGAACGATAGAACTGCGACCTAGCACCGGCGAGGTCGAGTTTAGGAGGGATAGGCGAGTCGAGGATGAAAGTTCCGGGCATAGCTGCTTCGCAAAACGCCATCGTTGTGTCGAAGCCGGTCGGTGGAATTCCGCTGCTTATGCCTGGATGGTAGTTCAGTTGCGGGGCGTAGGTGAGGATTGGATTATTTATTATTTTTCATCTGCAGAGGAGGCAAACTGATGAAGCTGGGAGGTAGGTAGGGAGTGAAAACGAGTGTAACGGCTGAGTCGGATGCACTGGGGCGTGCAACAAACCAGGAGCAGCGAAGAGGCAGGTATGTAACAACTACATACGTAAATGTATCTAGCTCAGCAACCGATCTGAGTGGAGGAGACGGCTATGGTATATCCACCCATATGTTTCTTTCTATTTTTTTTTCTCCTCTAGCGGACGAAGCTCCGAGCGAGTTGCCAGCAGTCCCAGTGTTGTTCCCTTTTCTTGATTTAGCGTGATTGGCGGGGGCTGCCTCAGCAACCACGGAGGAGATTCCCTGTCCCTACTAATGGCTCAAGAACCATCCGGTTCCCGAGTCCTCACCGAAAATATCGATAGATCAAACTACTACATATGTACTTGGAAAAAGTAACATTAACAATAGAAGATAAAAAAACGAGAATAGAAAACCCTTGAACCAAGACTACAGCTTCTGCGCCGTCCAACTCACACCCGCTGCCTCCAACGCATCCTCCCCATCAACAAGTACACACCAGCCCTCGCTCCCATTACTCCCTGCTTCCTCCCCCGCAACCGCCGCCCTGAAGTTCTCCCGCGCGTACTCCAGCACTTCGTCGTCAAAGGTGCCCGGCTGCAGCCACACGGCGGGGACATCCACGGCCTTGGCCTCCTTAAGGACCGCAAGCGTCACTTTAGGCGGGGTGACGATGGAGAGAGATGTCTGGGTAGGTGCCGGGAGGGCGGAGGGGGATGGCAGAGTGCTATATGTCTTCGAAGGCAGGGCGATTTCGGAGGCCCGTGGGTTCAAAGGGGTAACGGGGAGAGAGTGCTGGTGGTACCAGGCGAGGACTATTTTACGGTTGGTTTGAGTGTCAGCAGCAGTCAGGATTGTTGGCGATTTTTATTTTGCTTTTCTTGCGGATTCGCTATTTCAACTGACTCTTGTAGCCAAACTTGCTGGGATCGGTGCTGGCGCCGGCTACGGCGAACCGTGGGGAGGAGAAGAAGTGTTTGGCAGCGGCCTCCATATCTTGATTAATCCTTAAATGGCGTGTATTAACCTATTGCCAGCTGGAGACATGGAAGGTAGACAGTGCTTAAACCTAACTTTCTAGTCTTTGGTGGAGATGCCTCGGAGGTTAGAAGCTCCACCACACCAATAATTTGTTAACTTAGCAGTTGGTTTTGAAACGCAGATTACCACGATAATATATATTATTAGCAGTGAATTCATACTATACAGATCTGTAAAGCTATGAGAACGCAACAATCAGAGGATTTTTCCACATGTTCTCCAGCTCCTTGCTGGTTGGATAATCCGCTGAAAACATCTGCAATAACTAAAGATTGTCCTGGATACACTATGACTGGTAGTTTCGATGGTTCGGTATATTTAGGAGAGTATGAATAACCATCACATTGCAAAACATCGCCCATGGATTGTATCTGCTCTGGTGGCTTCAATGGGAGCTTGTAATAAATGACTTCACCAGATACTTCCATAGCCAACAGACCTCCTTCCCTACCAAGTCCTCTTCTCACTTCATCCTCCAGATCGATGCTGTCTAGATGTTTCGAAATGAGTATCCGGGCGTTGTCAGTCTGGGGATCGCTCTTGCAAATACCTTGACAGCAGTTCTAATGATACAAACAGGTCGGTGGAGGTGCCATGGCGGGCACAGAAGTCCACAAACATTGCCAGTCGTTGCGACGAATCGAAATGCGCTATCAAAGAGGGCGATATTCTTCATTCAATACATATCCTAGCAACCGGATCTCTCCCCAGGAATCCTGAGGATCAACCCCTTTAGAAGCAGGTATTTTCACACGAACACCATGATACTCTACCAAATCCAGAAGCAAATGCTGCCCTAAATTCGGCAGAGAGCCAGCAGGGATATACGTCATGGCTGCGCTTCCCCCATGTTGCAAGACTCAACACATTTAGATGGACTCCGCATCCTACAAAGTATGACGCATGGATTCTCTAGTTTCCGATTCCCCTCTGGGTCCCACAGTGTATGCCCATCATCACAGTATTATCGGACAGTGAATGAATGGATGGTTTTCACATCTTTCTCGGCTATCCATGGACGCCGAGGAAATCAATTAAGGTCATGTGACTTCGCGATTGATCAGCGAGTTCGCGACGACAACTTATCTAAGTGTTATCGTTGTTGCAACGAGAAACTTACACACCAGTATTAAATAGCTCACTTTTGACACACAACACAGCTGCCGCATTCGCAACTCCATGTAATGATCTGACCATGGGTGGATGCGCGGTAATGCTGCTCCGATATGACATATTTGGATAGGCAAGTGAGCACTCGCCATGCCTCCATTCTTACCCCGGAAAAGGGGGCTGTCCGAAGATCGTTTCCCCAACAAGCGTCAGGCGTGTGAACCTGAGGACATAGGATCATCGACAAGGAAAGATGCAAATGGGACTGCAACGGAATTGTTAGACGACGACTCTGAATCAGACTTGAGTTCCCTACCTTCCTCGAATGCGGACAAGAATAATGGGTATAATTCAGGCAATAATGACGACGACGACGATGATGATGATGAAGAGGAGGACTGGGAAGATGCGTTTCAAGGGGCAACTCTAACCTCAGCGCCAACGCCCGCTACTCCAGCAAGTTCCACAGCTCCACGAGACCTCGAGCTTACATTGGACAAGAACCACGCCATCTTCATAGACCCTGAAGCTCCGGGCAAGAAAGGTCCCAGCAGGATTGAACGGCAGATACGCATCCAGACCCACTGTATGCATGTGCAGTTCCTACTATTCCACAACGCTCTCCGCAACTGGTGGATCAATGATGCAGAACTCCACCAGATTCTACGAGATCAATTACCACCAGCTATCAAGAATGAAATCAAGAAATGGGAGATTGCTGCTGGGATACAACATCCTGACCTCCCTACCAAGATTGGAAAGGGAAAGGGGAAGTATAACAATCAAAACAACAAACGGCAGCGGGATTGGGGGGAAGACGCCTCTCGTCTAGAGGCCGGTCGGCCAGATATGAGCCGGGGAGATCCCACCATCCATATTCTTAGGGTTCTTGCCGCGTATTGGAGGAAACGTTTCAGTATTACAGCTCCGGGGTTACGGAAAAATGGATATCGACCTACCGCGATGCTTCAGGAGGAAACCAGCTCATTCCACAAGGGCGATCATGGTAAATATGATCATGGTGAGCGGATAAGAGGTCTAGGTGAGTTTCGTGACCTAGCACGTCGCTCGGAAGGCTCACGGGATGTGGGCGCACAGCTGTTTACGGCTTTGTTGCGGGCATTGGGAATGGAAGCAAGGATGGTCGCTAGTCTACAACCCCTCGGGTTTGGATGGACCAAAGTGGAAAACTATCGCCTGAAGGACCAGGAGGTGGAAACGGCGACAGTGACAGGTGATGGGGCGGAAGTACCGTCTCCTAGTGAGGCACTCTCCAGTGACGAAGGTAGCATAACCGATGACCCGTCGTCCAAGCCTAATAAACGAAGACCAAAGAATAAACATAATCCAGTCACAAACAGGAAATTTGATAGTGATCTTCCCTTCCCGATATATTGGACTGAGGCCGTCTCTCCAATCACTCATGAAATAATCCCAGTCGAAACTCTAATCCTGCCAAGTTCCAATGCAGTTGCGACGACGCCTGAGCTTTTATCATCATTTGAGCCGCGCGGCGTCAAAGCTGAGAAGGCAAAGCAGGTAATTGCATACGTCGTTGCGTACTCCCCCGACGCAACAGCCAAAGATGTCACTACTAGGTACCTCAAGCGGCACACCTGGCCGGGGAAGTCCAAAGGTTTTCGCATGCCTGTTGAGAAAATCCCGATGCATGGCGGTAGAGGTCCCGCGAGATATTTCGTCTATGATTGGTTCAAAGCTACAATGAGAGGATATGTTCGGCCAGAAGATAAGCGAACCGTTGTTGATGAGAAGGAGGATTCGAAAGATCTCGCTGCGAACCAGCCCGAGAAAAAAATTCAAAAGAAGGAAGGGGACACGTTGCAGAGCTTGCGGAATTCTACGGAGTTTGTCCTTGAACGGTTTTTACGTCGTGAGGAGGCCATACGTCCCGGTGCGCAGCACGTTCGAACTTTCACGTCCGGCAAGGGAGACAAGATGAAAAAGGAAAAAATTTATAAACGGTCAGATGTTGAGAAGTGTCTTTCTGCAGAAAGCTGGCACAAGGAAGGTCGGCAGATTAAGATAGGAGAAGCTCCGTTGAAACTTGTCCCTATACGCGCGGTAACATTAACGCGGAAGCGCGAAGTTGAGGTGGCAGAGCGCGAGAGCGGCGAGAAGCAAAAGCAAGGTTTATACGCGCTTTATCAGACGGAATACATCATCCCGCCGCCAATTAAGGACGGGAAGATCCCGAAAAACGCCTACGGGAACATTGACTGCTTCGTCCCTTCAATGATCCCCAAGGGCGCGACACATATCCCCTTGCGCGGGACGGTGCGAATATGCAAGAAGCTAGGCGTAGATTATGCAGAGGCGGTGACTGGGTTTGAGTTCGGGAGTAAGATGGCCGTTCCTGTCATAGAAGGTGTGGTTGTGGCATCTGAAAACGCGGGTCTTGTCAAGGACGCCTGGCTGGCAGAGGATGCTGAAAGGCGCAAAAGGGAGCAGTTGAAACATGATAAACTTATTCTTTCCATGTGGAGGAAGTTCATTATGGGCCTACGAATTGCTGAGCGCATTCAGGCTGAGTACGGAAGTGGTGGAGATGGAGAGGAACGGAATCCGTTTTCGAATAGGCGATGCGATCGCGATATTCCGCCTACCGAAGACGGTTTTGAGAGGGAAAAAATGAGGGGGGAGCCTGTTGATGAGGGTGGTGGCTTTCTGTTGCCGGGTGAGGATGAGTCGGTGCATCGCAAGGATATAGTTGATGAAATGGAAGGGGGATCTCAGTCGCGGATGGCAAAGGATATGGGAGATGAAAATGACGGTAGAATCGATATCGAATCATCGTCTGAATTGAGTGATGCTTTATCTGTTGTCTCTGTTCATTCAACGCCCTGATCCTGGATCCGAACGACTCGACCTCGCCCAGGACATCTACTAGTTATCCCGAAGCACCGAACCTTTTCCAGCCATTTTGAATGGATATATTGTATATATATAAATAGAGAGAAAGAACGCCATAATATCATGTATAAATTCATCTTGACCAAGAGCGTATTTTCCTCTGTAAACTTGGAGCCCTTTTGCTCGACAACCTGGACGGCTTTCGAGAACAGCTAACACTTCAAAGGGGGCGACGCCTATCAGCTCCTTATCGGAGCTTTGCTTGATCCCTCAGACCTCCGCCAGTAGAATCCACCATATAATTCTCTAACCGTATATCCCCTTGGTGCCAAAAAGCCATCCCCACAATGTCCCTAATCTCCAAGAGCCCAATATATTTTGGGTCTTTCCTAGTAACATCGCAGGCAAGCATCCATACCCTTTCATACAATCCCACCCCCTCTGCTGACATCAACAACCAGGTCTTCTACATAACCCCACTCTCCTTCGCCCTCGTCAACCTGAAACCCCTCCTACCAGGGCACGTCCTTGTCTGTCCCCTCCGCCGCGTTCCGCGCGTCGCCGACCTCTCCCCCAGCGAAACAACCGACCTTTTCCTAACCGTCCGACGCGTGAGCCGCATGATCGAACGCGTCTACCGTGGCACAAGCCTAAATATAGCTATACAGGACGGTCCGGAGGCGGGGCAGACGGTGCCACACGTACATGCGCATATAATACCACGGCGGAAGGCGGATTTGGACCAGCGGGGTGGTTCAGATGCTATTTATGAGATGATGGAGGGGCAGGAGGGGAATATTGCGAGGCATTTAGGGGAGATGGTGGAGGAGAAGAGGCAGAGGGAGAAAGAGAGATCTAGATTTCCAAGAGCAGATAATGAGGGGAGGGAGCCGAGGTCGGAGGAGGAGATGATGGAGGAGGCTTTTGCATTGGCGAAGGAGATGGAGCAGGAAACTGTGGATTGAGTTGGGGTGTCTTGGTGATGCGGACTATATCATTGACGATGGCGTCAAAAAGTTTTTTATAGAGATATTGAGGGCGTTATTATTACGAATTTATCCTGTAGGACTTTTATTTACTAGCATGCACGACATCGATGGATCTAGAGCTGTTTGCAGGGAAATGGGAGGTGAGTATGTAAGGTGGGAAATGTGTATCCCTGGGTTTGATTCTATAACCTATTCCGATGTTGGAGACGCAATAAGAAGGCGCCCAAAATGAAACCCTAACTCCAGGTCTGCTGTGATATCACAAAAGTGAACCGCTCGCACACATCTATGGAACCAAAAGGGAGAAAATGATAAGTTGAAAGGACCATTTCATAGCTCATGGCACATTCGTCATCGAACTCATGTGTTCAATAGCGGATTTAGGCGTCGCTTGACTTGCCCGCCCAAAATGATTCTCTTTCCTGCATTACGACCGCAGCCCACTCCCTAACCTCAGGAAGCTTGATTCCCTGCAGCACGTGGAAGAATTCCGACAAATCCAACTTCCCCGCATGGCTCCGCTCATACTCTACAGCCTGCAGTAACAGCTCTAGCTTGTCGATATCATGGACGAACTTCGCTTCGAGCGTATTGTTATCCTCATACTCTTCGAATATCTCCTGGATATCCTGGCTCGCCAGGCCCGGCACCGCTCCAAGCAAAGATTTTGAAATGTATTCGATAACTTCCGCCTCACGCCTGGCTTTTTCTATTTTCGGTATATGTGTGTCTGCTGGGGTGATGTCCCCGACTATGGATTCTGCCATGTCATGAATCAAAGCCATTTTGGTACAGCGGGGAATATTGAGTCTAGCCGCAAGCGCAGGTGGTGCGAACATCGTCATGATGGACATGCGATACATGTGATCGGATATTGATTCACCGTGTGCAATACCAAATCGTCGCCATCCTTCGCGTTTTGTGGTCTTTAATCGCTCAAGGAGATGGAAGAAAGGAATTGGGGTGGGGGTGTTCTGAAGAGGCGGGTGAGGTAGGGTAGCGATGACTGGACATTGTATTGTCAGTATCTTGTTAACTAAATAACGAAAAATAAGGTCGTCTGATAAGATTGGAGAGTGCGGACCGGATTGAGCCGTCCATTGAGCATCCGTCGGCAATGACATCCCCATGATATCGGCAACGTTCAAGTAATATTTCGGAAGCGCGTACTGAGCCAAAACGTGCGAGCTGCCTTCGCAAGTCTTATATCGATCGCTATTTATCTTTAACAAAAAATTGAAGTTACTCTAGAGTAAATATTTGTACGAGGAGAAAAATCTATCCCTCTCAAGAGGCGAGTGATACGGTAGCCGGAAGAATAGTAATATGAAACACAGGTCTTCCAATGTTGACGCGGAGGATTCCAAGTGCTTTCGGCTGGTTGAAGGGTTCTGGACAAACAATGCAAACAACACAATCACCATCCAATCCAACCTTCCTTTGTTTACTCTGCCAGGTTCGTCAATGTACTGTGCATACGAGGAGTGATTAAGCTGGACACCAGCATCGGCAGCCCGCATCGACAGCCCATGCAAATGGTGGGGACAAAAATAAACACGGATAGCTTGAGTGAGCGCTTTGGTTAAATCATTGGAATATCTATCGATTATGACTTTTTACGATGCAATCTTCCACCCCTTCTTCTCTGAGGCCCAAAGGACTCAATTGGCCAGTCTCCTCGCACATCACCGTTTTTGTGCGAAACCTCAGGCTACTGCACTTTGACCAGCTCCCTGACTGGCCAAATTTAACTGTCCGCTCCTTTTCGGGTGCTCAATCAAACCTTCGGCAGCGCATCAAAGCGGTGGAATGGTCTCTATACCAACTGTTTACGATATGGGACCCAGAAGGGGCTCAAAATGTAAGCACCCGTTAAAGGCAATCATCGTACACTGTTTATTTTAATTGGAAATGCTTCTAAAACTACCTTATCAGAAATTGCGTCCTTTTTTCCCTCCACTTGAACCCTTGCAATCCGTTAACCTTCGGGCAGCCCTTTTTCGTGCGCTGTCCGATATGAAAAAGAATGGGGTTCTGGGAAGGGAAGTGATACTCCGTAAGACGATGCTTGATGAGTGTAAAGGGGAGAAATTCGAGGAGGCGCTGGCCATATTTTCTTTGACAGTGCTACGGAAGGTGATATTGGCTCGCAAGGGTGAACACCACAATCCAGTTCTTGAGATGACTATCAATGGGAGAGCTTCGTCCTCAGAACAAGAGATGCTGGTTCCACTGATTATAGCCCATCGCGTCTCACTCACAACCATGATTAATGATAAATGCCATGTACGACAAGCTTATGACCAACTAAAAACCCTACTTGAAAATAAGACGATAGAGCTTGCTGCCCGATCAAAGCAAGCTGCGAATAAACCCACTGCTGACGAAGATGAACTTAGCCATGAGATCGTGAACCTATGGCATGGAAATGAAAAATGGGCCCACACAATTCTCAATGGCGGAATACGAGTGTCCACTGATCACGTTCTCGAATCATCCTTTTCCCAAACGCTGTCGCTTATTAGAAATGGCCAGCTAGGTGATATAGGAAACAGGCCTTCCTCAGATCTATTGGCTGATTTAGATAATCGACTCTCAGAGCAGAAGGCTAGAGTTGAAAAATGGCGGAAATTTAAACATACTCTAGTGGAAGAACGAGGTGTAAAGCAACCATCGAAACACCGCAGCTCCTCCCAGATATTAGCTTTCCGGGACCACCAGTCGTTAACAATCGCTTCACTCGCTCAGTCAGATCGCGCGTCGACCTCTCTGTCGACCAATGGCACAGAGTACTCCTCATTAGTTTCAGCACTTGATGCTGCGCTTCTGAAGCACGAGGTCAACATCTCACAAAAGAAACGGCAGCCAGATTCAGAAGATTCAAGAAACCAGCGATTACATAATGCTCATTCAAATCGTGATTACTCAATAGACCAAGCGACGCTGAGTCTTCTGGCTGACCAACCGACTCCTAATTCGAGCGACATGGATAATACATCCATGCTCTCCTCTCTCCCAACCCAAGGGAGCGGTAGAAGCTCTCCTAGACTAGAAAGCAGAGAGATAAGCGGATCAGGAAGTCCGAATTACGAATATTCGTCTGGTGCTGTGACGCCATCAATCACTATTGACTATGATTCCAACCCAAGCCCTATGAACATGGACACAGAATCGCTGCAACCAATCCCTGTACAACCCACGCGAGCTGTTTCAGGCAGCCTCGTCGAACGCACAAGGCAATCGATGTCGTTCCTCCCCAAACCAAGCTCGCGACCCCGTCAGTCCCTAGCAGCTAAGCCTCGAAAGTCCCAAGTGTTCCCTACAAACCAGTTTGAAACTCCGAAAAGAGACGGTCCCCGGAGTCTCGAGCCAGGAGGCTCTGGGACGTCAACACCTAAGGAAGAACTATTTAGTCAGGATGCGGATTATGCTAGCGTGTTTAAGAGCAGGCCCAGGGTTGCCATGAGCCCCGTCAATTCTCCAGCGGTACATATGTTACCAATGGATGATAGTGACATGGACGCGGATCAGACTATAAATATAGGTGCTGGAGTTGCTGAAGGAGACTTGCAAAACTCGCCTCTTTTTGCGGCTCGGTTCACATCTAGAAAAATGAACTTATAATGTCCACCTCAATACTGTGTCATTTCCTTGACCTAACTCCGGTATTTTGTGGGTCTCTGATGTTCTAGAGTTGGCATCCTTGACCCGCAACCCACCTGCCTATGCTACTAAATCCAGTCTTTAAAATCCATAAATTTTGGCTCTTGATCGAAGACAACAACCCTGCGCGCGACCATCAGCACTTCGATCAACAGCATCGTGTTAATCTGTTGCCCCGCCAACTTTCCAGGGGTCCCAGGGTGATTGTAATCGCCCGGGAGGAATATTGTGTTTAGGCAGTGATCTCCACATATGTTAGCTGATTTTGGTTCAGCGATCACTCCATCCATAAATGGAACTCTTATCGACACTTAGGCTTTTGATTGCCGATAAAGACACAAGGTGCATCAGCCAGTTGACACCTTTTACCACTTCGAGACGATATATTCCTTCACGTTAACCGTTTTAGGACCGCTCGTGTTACATATCCCAGCTTTGTATCCTATTCATTCCTGTACAACTAATATCCGGATGAATGAAATTATTCCCAGATCTTGACCTTCTTCGATTCCTTTTAATCACATCTTTCATGCCAAAAAACGAACAGTGCAAACATTCGCAACATTGTTCATTGTGTTGATAGATAGTTTGTTGCCGTATGTTATAGAAGACAGAATTCTAAAATTAACTAGCACGCCCTAGAGAAATTTGCAAGCTCTCCTGCCAGGGGTGGCTATCTGTGCCCAACCCTCGTCCAATCAAGACGATTTTGCAAAGATCCCCCGAAGCTGATGTGTGCCTGCTATCAGTCTCCGTAATCTCAAATACTTCCTGAACTCCCTGGATGATCTGCGTACCGCCATCGGTTAGGCAGAGCAGTCCTTTTAGTCGATGGATTTCAAAATCTTTAATCTTCCGCAGGCTCGTATTTGTCGGCTGGGAATGAGGAAGTTGACGCTCCCACAGTAGCGAGCGTAGCCATGCGTCCACCTTGGGCACACACTCTTGGGATATCTTGTCAACTGTGAAGGAAAGCGTTGAGATTGACTGGATTGAGCAAATATCGTCAGAAAGGAGACGCCTAGCCCGGTGCATGGGAGAACAAAATTAACATAGACTAAGCATAACCTACGGGATCCAGATGACTATGGCTCTTCTGGTTGAAATCGACATTGCTCAAATTATCATAAGCATGTATCTCAAGCAATGTGCCTTCAAGATTGGGAACCTTGCTATGGTCCGTCACAAGAATTTTAGCCAGACCGTTAATCGAGGTTATCCGTTCCTTAACATTTTCCAATTCAGTGGCTGTAATCAGGTCACTCTTATTCAGTATGATCACATCAGCATGCGATATCTGGAGATGGGCTGTAGTTAGAACTGTTCCATCGTGTGTACCCTGGGCTTCCGCCGGTGCTGGTTCATCAAGACGTTGGAGAATATTCTTTCCATCAACTACAGTGACGATCCCATCCAGGTAGATAGTACTTCCTAATCCATCATCAACCCAAAATAATGGTGCAATATTTCCTGGATCGGCAAGCCCGGTCGTCTCCAGCAAAATGTAGTCAAATGTGCCTTGGCGCTCCATGAGCGACTCTATGGCGACTACTCCCGTGTCTCTGTCGGTGATATCAGCTGCGGGAGTACACACAAAATGGAAAATATGCAATCAAAATATTTTTAACTTACCTAACGGAACAGCATATGCAGCCGTTTGCCAGCTCCAGCCATTCTTCAACTTGCTGGCCGTCTTTGTTGACGGTTAAGGATTTTTCAATATCAATTGCTGAATTGTCAGTACTAACTAAGAAAAAAGTTGATAAAAAGCCGTACTTACAATCACCAAACTCTACAAATACCGTCAGAATCCGTCAGCAAGTGTTATAACGTGAAAAACATGACTCGGGCCAGATGGTTACAAGCCGTTTAAAATCACCGCTATTTTTTTCCCATGCTCCTCTCCAAGGATATAGTTAAGCAGTGTCGTCTTGCCAGCGCCCAAATAGCCTACCATGGACTCTTTTTAGCCAACCGCACTCGTATTATATTTCTTAACATGAAACGCCCGCAGCCTACATACCTGTTACTATTGTGATAGGGACTTTCTTCGGCTTCTGTTCTGTGGGAGACTTGGGCACTGACTCCTCCTCGAGCACGTCAACATCAACTAGTTCAGGCGGACCTCCCTCGTGGTCGTCTCTAATGTCCATACTTAAATTACTCTTCTGTAGCCAAACAACAATATCTGGAGGAGGAGCTAGATAGCATTGCTCCGGTAAATCAACTCGTCCATGAGATAACTACTTCCGCCATGTTTGGTAACTAACTACGGGGAGTCCGGGATTTAACGCCAACCCGATCAGGTTTAGCACAATATCACGTTCTGGACTATAAACTCCCACTGCTCAAACATCTTCTCTCCATCAACTCTTATTTTTCCCTACTTCCCTCACAATTCTCTTGTCTCATGTGTATCACTCCTATCCCCTGCATTTCACTCCATCATCAGTGACATACAGATCAGCTGCACTGCAACTGAAACAGTTCTCAATCTAGCAACTTTCTTCACTTTTCTATCTTTCTCAATACAATTTCATTTCACTCTACAGTTCAATTATCCTAAAATTATGCACAGAATGAGCTCTCTATTGGAATATCTGATTTGTAAAGGACTATGGCTGGCTGAGGTTTGCCTGTTCACTTCGATCTCATTTCCTGTCCCATATACGACCAGCTATTCCTTTATATTCTATGAGATTTGGCTCTGCACTTCTATTCTATCAGCATTGCCAATGCTATTATGTGCCTTGACACTTGTTGTCCCTCGTCTCTCCCTTCACAATTGACTGCCAAACCTTGTGTTTCTCACCTGTAATACATGCCAGTGATGAGCAACATTACAACCATTCGTTGAGATGGTTGTCCAGTGACGAAAATGCCTCAACACAGCAAAAACAGTGTCAGCCTTGCTACATCCCAGCTAGCCACGTGTCAGGTCTCAACTATGACGAGAGTGCATGGCCTCGAAAGCTTGAGTGAACGGATTCTGACCTTCACGATGCGTCCTGGGCATGCCCGAAGTGGAACGCATCAAGGGAACTGTTCTCACTACAAATCAAGACCCTGCACCGAAGATGTGATCTGCAGGACCATATCGAAAGCAATGGAGATTTCCGGCATTCATAATGTGTTACATGCATGGTTGACCTAGAACTTGCGATTTTAGGAAAGAGTTGAACCGTCTTGTCGTTACGTCCGCAGTGAAGGGGGGGTGTTACCTTGTTTGCAACAGCAGTGATTTTGTGTTGCATTGGGGTGGACTGTGGACAAGCAACCTGGTGATTTGGGCTTTTTTTTGCATCTGGTGGGCACTAGATTCATGCACTATGGGCTAGAGAGTTTTCGCAGAGCAAAGCCCTTGGGTTTCGGAAAGCAATCGGCTGTGAGATGGCGACAAAAATCTGCTGTTTCCATTTCCCTTTGACAAAGCGATAGCACATACTCCGCCGGAATACCATGTTGAAACCACCAGGCTAGCAAGTTGGAGTCCCTGCTATAAGATGCCTCTCTAACTGGAGAAGGCTGGTTGAGGGCGTTCATCCTGCTGAATACCTATGAAGGATCCCATGGTCGAGTTTACATCTGCGGCCTGGAGCATTTACAAAACTATGCTTCGGTGATATGGCCTCGTAGAAACTGTCCATGAACGTGGAAAGGGAATCGAGCACTTGAAGGTATATGAAGGGAAGCCACAAGGCAAAAAATATTGAGGTGGTACGTCTGCCACCCAAAATCTCTCAATTTACAGAACTAAGGTATGGATATCCCTTTCGGACTGGAGCAAATTCGCTCCTTGCACTGCGAAAGTGGTGAATCAAATATCATTAGCTAAGAAAAAGAAATCCGCACCAGGAAAGGAATTAGACGTCATTAGTGTCTTCCCTAGCGCGTGCTAGGCGGTTTTCAACATGGCATGTGCCAACTTAGCACGCGCCACTGTAAAAATCACTTAGCCCGCGTTAGGTGGACATGTAAGCGTTCTACAAGGTGTAACTATGCCTATATCCATTCTGGGTCAAGCTTTCACAGGAATGAGACTTAGAATCGGAGAGGCAGCAGTTTTGGTCGATTACATTTAAGTATATTTTCATCACTGTCATGAGCCCTATCAACGGGTTGCTAACATTTTCAAGGAAGTAGCTCTTTACCAATAAAGTGTGAACGACTGCGCTCATGGTGTCCATTCCGCCGCCCTGTCGTCATCAAGCCACCGGCTAATAGCTATCTGCAATCTTTTACCTCCTTGCCATGTGCGTACCACCTCTCTTCGTATGGCTCTGCCCGCCCTGGCTCATATCTTGGAAAGTCGCTTGCGTGTAGGCTCGAGTCCCATGGAGCAGAAGGCGATGGTTTAGCATATCGTATAATATATGGCTCTAGTTTGCCAGCGATATCATGAAAATATGGTTATATCCGAAGGCATTCGAGACACCAAACTGTGTATATTCCAAGCCAATCGAATTCTAGAGGACCCCCGCGAACAGAGCTGCAAATCTGTCCCCTACTGACAAGGAGGGGACGACCGACGCAAACCACCCTCTTCTCTGTCTTACTAGAATGTATATCTTCGCCGACACCTACCTGATCGAGGAGCTGAAGTCTTTGTCATTCAAGAAGATCAATCGGTTCCTTGAAAACGAGAAAGACCTGCAGACATCGACTCTAAGCTAGTAGTCATTCGTATGCTTGACTTGGCATTCCCGAATTTGCCTCCCAGCGACAATCTGCTAGGCCCACTCAATATACCTCAGTAAGGTTCCCTCGGTCGTCTCTTTGAATCTGTATGTTCCCTAGATGCTTCCACCTTTGGACCGAAGAAGGGCTTCGTGGATCTTGAAGATCCGTGACGAACTGCAACACTGAAAACCTACGACAGAGTCCAAAAAGCTGCATAAGCCGTTAGCATCTCATTTTCTGCAAGCATGAGGAACATATCTGCTGTAGGTCGTTGGCGACCATCGCTTCCCTTGACCATTTTCACTCACTTTCTTGGACAATAACTGGACTGTCAACTAAACTATGCTAGGACAGGCGAATGTTAGACTAGGCGACCCATTAGCTAAAAATTTTCCGACCTACTTCATGTACTGTCTCTGGTTACTTCCACATCCATTGTTCTTCCTCATAACAGGATAGGATGTTGCGCTACAAGGAGCTTGCCACAGGTTACTTAATCCCGTAAGCGTTCCATCACTAAACCTAGTGCTAGATTTCAACGCATAAATTGTGAACTTAATACGTTGTTAGTTGGGGAATTCTCCTTTAGCACTATTCCAAATTAACACGGTATTAAATTCACAACTTTATGCCTTGAAATCTAACACCTAGTGGGGGAGAGGAACCTTGGTCATCATCAGCCGCATAGCAAACAATGACATGATCAGTGAGTTGGCATTCTTTAGCCACTATCTTCCTTTGAAATCCATTGTAAACCAAATCATCAAGGCCAATCCATATATGGAAGACCGACATGCCCAAGGTTGTCTGGAACAATCTATGACGTATGATAAACTTCGCCAACATCTTCGGTAGGAATATGCAACCACATCATCATCTCGATCTGATCTTGCTCCCGTCCAACGTCATAGATCCGTAATATTATATTAATTGGTGGGAGACATATCCACATGCCCACAAACAGGGTGTCTCGCACTCCCTTACGTGTTCGGGTGAAGAATTCGATGAACGGATTCTGTACCGATGAATTCTCACATATCGAGGGCCGATGAGGGCGGCCAGGGGTCGTTGGGTGTATCGGAGTTTCGTCCATACCTGACAACCGAGGAAGAAAACCAAATCAATAAACAGTTCCAAAAGGACACATGGCGTCGCAACCGCCAAGTCTTGTGGAGTGGAGTGCCACACGGACTAGCTCAGGAGTGGGCAGACGAACGAGGCATGCAAACCCTGACCACAGCGATGGGTCCCTTGATGGTATCAGACCATCCCTCGTGTTTGAAATCAAAAAAATCGCAAAAGTCATGGAGTAGATATATGAGAGGTGCTTCGGCTGTGTTTGCATATCACATCTCGAAAGGCGAAAAGATCACAGTGTTATCCCCACCTCCTCCAACTCGATTCCACCCAGATGGCTTGACCAATTATCAAGCTCTAGAGGAGCCGGTTCTGAAAGGTGCAATTAGAGGGTCTGCGGTATCATGCATTGAAATGGTGCATCCGACCGTCAAGGGAGCCGAGGATTTCTGTTATCAGGTGTGGCCGGCTGATGACGCCCGTCTCTGGATTGCAAATTTCGGGATGCTGCCTCCAAAGGAACACTGGAGAAGAATATCGCCCAAGAAACGAAACCTAATAGTGAGCCAAACAGAACTCTTTATCTCAGGGGGGGCCAATATGCAAAATGTGTCAGGGCCAGCAAAGGCCCTGACGGAGAAGCAGAAGAGGGAGAAGAAGGAGGTGGAGATGAGGAAGAAGGTGGAGAAAAAGATGGAGGAGAAAAGAAAGATGGAGGAGAAGAGGAAGCTGAAGGAGAAGAGGAGAATGGAGGAAAAGAGGAAGATGGAGGAGAAGAGGAAGCTGAAGGAAAAGAGAAAGCTGGAGGAAGAACGGAAGATGAAGGAGAAGAGGAAGCTGAAGGAGAAGAGGAAGATGGAGGAAAAGAGGAAGATGGAGGAGAAGAGGAAGCTAAAGGAAAAGAGAAAGCTGGAGGAAAAGAGGAAGATGGAGGAGAAAAGGAAGCTGAAGGAAAAGAGAAAGCTGGAGGAAGAACGGAAGATGGAGGAGAAGAGGAAGCTGAAGGAAAAGAGAAAGCTGGAGGAAGAACGGAAGATGGAGCAGAAGAGGAAGATGGAGGAGAAGAGGAGGAAGAGATAACAACCAGCGATGCTTCCAAAGCACGAAAAATATCTGACACCGAAAATTCCCCTCAGAATATGAAATTTTGCGAGTCCCCAAAATGGCCCCAGGTTCCTAATAGCAACGAAATTGATGATGGTGTGGAAGAAACATCTCAACTTTCCATGTCGACCCGGTGGATGATGTACCTATGGAGTTAGATAGTCACCAGGGTGCGTCTAGGCTAAGCACATATCTCATTGCTATTGCATTTTTTCGCTATTGGCTCCAGTTAGATTGGTCATCACCATCAAAAGTTTGAGGTGGCTTGAGCCAATTTGATTTTTATATGGGAAATGAGATCACTGAAGGGCCGAAAGCTTTTGTTGGAAGGTTGGATTGGGTCGTTCGTCCTCTCCTACTACCAGCATGGCGCTGGTGGTGATCGAGCTCTTTTGCCCCAGTGGCCTAACAGCTTTATCAGCCAAAATCACGCCTTGGTATCCCTCTGATCCGGACCGGGCGGCTTTTTTTTCTTTTTGGCTTCCTCTCCATTCCCAAAGTTGAGTTTTTCATCGAGTCATCCTTGCCTCGGGTTGCGAAGCCAGCTTGCCATCGCCTTCGGCTCCAGTTGCAGTCAGCTTCCGTAAATTATCGGTACGAGTATGGTCCAGCGATAGGGGTGTGATTGACTACTTCTTATAGGTAGTCCGTGTCTCCGCCGGCCATCAACTGTACTCCCGCAAACTTATCTGCATATCTAATTCCTTACTTCCTTCTTGAATGAAGTCTGAGTTCAAAAATGGGAAAGAATTGGAATAGCTGAATATCAGTCCTGCACTTTTGCCTGTGGTACGATGCTCATGCGAGTTAGCTCGCCAAAAATAAGTTAATAAAGATAGTGAAAATGAATGAACGGACCCAAAAACTGCTTTAAATCTCATCATACACATAGCACGGCATAATCCAGATCGAAATGAACTCCCATAATACACTCTTTGCATGCAGATCCCAAAATACCTGTGGGTGATTTCACCCAGAGATAATTCCGTGATAGACAAACCAGTGTCACCCAAGTAGTTGGAAAATCCCCTAGATCCTGTTCTGTGCATGCCGTTATGGCTTAACAGTTCGTGGTTGAAGAATGTCTAGCGACTCATATCAAGTATATATCTACACATGGGTTTCCACATGTTAACTTCTTAATGACGTATTTCTTTCGCCACAAGAATTCCAACCAAGCAGACAATATAGAAATGCGATCAGTCACACATACATAGTGTGGACTATGAGCACGTTCCCTGAGAATCTTCAACACCATCCAGCACATCCAGGCACAATGGATTAGGACACCAGAGCAGAGCATCAGGGTCAAGGTAGTAGAGGTGACAATCTTGGACATATCTTCAAAGATGGCCAGATCATAAAAAGGAGTATATCTGTGTGGAGCGCGGCAGCTGACTATCTCCAAGACAGAAGAGACACTGAGTACCCAGACATGAGATGGAAAAGATGTCTGCATAAATGATCTCATTGAATGCAATATCAACTTCAGAGTCAGCAGATGATGCGGGCTCTTCTCTTGCACAACTCCCCATGTAAGCCGCAGAGTGAAACCCAATTCTGGATTCATTGCACTCAGCAGATGTAAAGCTTGTGCTGGTCTTTGATTTGACAGTCTGATGAGTAAAAGAGATTCCGAGTAAGTCATATCTACTTCTCAAATACAATTTGAATCTTGTTCTCATCATTCATCTTGAGCTTCTTACTAATAGACAATTCTAGTTAAAAGTTGTCTTCCAATCTTTATGATGTCAATTGTTGCAAAGAACTTCTGTCTCATTTCCTTAACCATATTATAATGAAGGATCTGTTTCTCGACTCTGATAATATCTCCAAGCGCTGACCGTCAAGGCCTTTTCCCTTGGTAGGATTGATACATTTGTCTTGGCGGAGTTTTTGCTTGGATTTCCTACATATTGTAGTTAATATAACACGAAGTAAAATAAATCGACTGAGCAGTCAACGTATGGATATGCATATGCATGCACCATCTATGACTCTCGGCCCGGTGTGATTAGGTACGGTTATCCATATCTTCGAGTTATTCTTTGTTTTAATTGAATTTGAGTGTAAGGCAGTGAGAGGAAGAAAAACACTCAGATCCTAATTCTCTTATTAATTCTCAATTCCAATTCCGATTTTTCTTTAATTCATCTCTGATTCTATATTGGAGTCTTTGCAGCTATTGTGGCGGACGTAAAGCTTGCGAAAACAGAATTTTCTGCCACCCCCTGAAAAGTAGTAGCAAAACACCGCAAAAATAACCAAAATATCCACGTATCTCTAGAATCATTCAAATATCATCCAATTCATTCAAATACGCACCTTTATCATCAAATACGCACCTTTATCATCAAATCTGCCAATATGCCCCCCCAGCTCAGCGAATTTACCACCAATGAGATCGTACGCCTTCTAAACGATGGTTATATGCCTGCTCAGATTGCGCGGACCATTGAGTGCCATCTGGCCACTGTATATCGAATCCAACGAAATATTCGCTGCTTTGGAACTGCTAGAAGTCCTCGTTCAACATGGGGTGTAAAGCCAAAGATCACACCGGATATCTTGTCAGGTTTGGAGGATTTTTTTGAGGCATATCCAACTGCATATCGCGATGAGGCTGTCTGCTTTGTGAAGGATGAATTTGATGTTGATATCCACCCTCGATCGATATCTAGATTGTTGAAGAAACTGAATTTGACACGGAAAAAGGTGATTAATTATTGCAATTGTCACTTATAGAACCTGCTAATCCGTCAGTTCTATTTGATATAGGTTGAACCCGTGGCCACTCAACGCGACGAAGAACTTCGAGCTGAATGGCGTATTCAAGTTACTCAGTATCAACCTGATCAACTTATATTTTTAGATGAGAGTGCTGCGAATGAACGTACTGCAGATCGACGATATGGATGGTCAAGCAGAGGATTCCCTTGTCGCATTAGAAGGCCCTGTAAACGATCTCGCAGATGGTCAATCTTACCTGCGATAAGTGTCAATGGATATCTTGATTATGATATATATCAGGGGTCCTATAATACAGAGAGGTTCAATGAGTTTGTACGTGTCCGGATACTGCCCAAATGCCAACGAGGTTATCACTACCTAGTGATGGATAATTGCTCTTCTCATCGTTCACAAGCACTGCGAGATCTCTGCAGAGAAGCTGGCATTGGACTTTTATTCTTACCCCCATATTCTCCTGATTATAATCCTATAGAGGAGTCATTTCACGCGTTGAAAGAATGGATTAGAAGATACAGATGTCAGTTAGAGAATCAGTTTGATGGAGATTTTGAAGCCTTCTTGCATCATGCAGTTGAGAACTTCATGGGAGAAGAAGATGCAAGAGGATATTTCAGATCTGCTCATATAGGATAGTATTGTAAAATCTAGAAAGATTCAGATTGCAATTCAATTATGATGATATATAATATCTAAGTTTCAAATTCAGAAGCAGAAGCAGTATGAGGTCTGCTGCCATCACTACAAACAGCAGATAAAGACAATTTAATCTCCTTCAACCGTGACTGCCAGATAGGACTCTTTAACCCATCTCTTATTATCGAGAATATACCCATTCCAATATTCAACTGAACCACCTGCTCATTTGTCATTGTCCGTATATGATCCAGTTCAAATCCTTCATTCTGAATAATGCTCTTTGCAGTTAAAAGAGCTTCTGCTCTTCGAGGTCTCTCTGTCATCAACCAGTTGAAGAACTCATCAATAAACAGATCCGCGTGTTCACCAAACTGAGGGATTGGACTACTTCGAATAGGAGGCAGGTTTGGATTCGACGGCAGATTTGGATTCGACGGCAGGTTTGGATTCGACGGCAGATTTGGATTCGACGGCAGATTTGGATTCGACGGCAGGTTTGGATTCGACGGCAGGTTTGGATTCGATGGCAAGTTTGAATTCAGTCCTCCCATGCCTCCCATTCCTTCCATCATATATTTCATCACCATCACATTGATTATCTCACTTGGAGACACAATATTAGATGAAGAAGGAGTTGAGGGAGGGAAGATAACTGCTGGCATCTGAGGTGTCTGTATAGAAGGGTTAGAAGCAGAGATAGGTTCGCTTTTTCGTTCCTTCTTCTCCTTTCTATCCATTAATCTTTTTGTCATCTTTCTTGACGGATTTTTAACTGTTGCATGTCCACGTTCAACATCATCTATCCAACTGGCAATCTCACTACTCAGGAGTTGAATATGAGTATCATCAAAAGCCATCCAACAAGTGCCCTGCTCAAAGTTATGACAATTCATCTTTTGACAACGCCAGTGAGCAGTTATCTCACGCCCAATCCGCAAAGAATCGCGCTCATTTGACCGTCGATTTCGAGCCTCCTTCAGCTGCTGGCTAGTGGCCGTGGATCTTGTACGCGTAGGCGGCAGCTTTTCGTCATCGGATATTTCATGAATTCGAGGGGATTTGGCAGGACGATAGAGAGGGGATTTGGCAGGTGGTGAGATTACTTCTTCTTTGACATCTAATGCTCTTTTTGATGCCAATGTCTGGGTTGTTAATTGTGAATCCGACACTCCAATGAAAGCTGCAGGACCGCGTATTACAGAGGTGTTTGAGGATAGAGTTGAGATATCAAGAAGATTAAAAGAGGTGGTAATCTCGATGCTAAATCCGCTCATCTTCTCCTTATATAACTCCTTCAAAAGAGTGATAATCTCTCTCCAATCTGTCTCCTTCTCAAGGGTGATTTTGATTGAAGATCCACGTTTGTTTGATGAGATGACTGCTATACAATTTGCAACTTCTATCTCCTTGCAGTTCTGCTTCATAACATACTCTTCAGCTATTCTTTTTGCAGTATATTGAATACGATAGAAGCTGACAGTCATATCATTTGTTGTGACATTCCGTAACTTGATCTTTATAGGCTCCTTTATCCCATTGATAATCACCCGTTCATACAGCCTGAATGAGATCTCGGGCTCAGGGGTAGGTGTTCGCAGAAATCGAGGATCTTCTGACTGTGTCTCCTCCTCCTCCTCCTCCTCCTCCTCCTTCTCATCATCAGTTGGATTCTTGTCATTATCCGGAACATCCGGAACAGGCGGTTTGGGCAGACGAAGGCGCAGGGTAGTTGGAGTCCTTTTACGAGCTTGCGAGGCAGTAGAACGGTGGGTGTTGCGGGGCATATTGGCAGATTTGATGATAAAGGTGCGTATTTGATGATAAAGGTGCGTATTTGAATGAATTGGATGATATTTGAATGATTCTAGAGATACGTGGATATTTTGGTTATTTTTGCGGTGTTTTGCTACTACTTTTCAGGGGGTGGCAGAAAATTCTGTTTTCGCAAGCTTTACGTCCGCCACAATAATGGGAATGCTAGAGATTTTGCCAAGACTAGTGCTTGTTTGAGCCAACGTCGGAGCATCAACAAAGATCAAGCACGACGACGACGGCGGCGGCGACGGCGACGACCCCGACGCTCTCTTCCCGCTATTCCCTGCCAGCCCTCCCACAACATATCCTTCTCGTCCGCGCCAACCAACAATGACGACTGCTGGTGCTTCTCCCTCGAGCTCGCCTCGATTGCCCAGTCCGCCGCCGTTCACTGAGGTGCAGATTGGGCCCCAATCCCCTACTGTTGGCGAAGGGTTCGGGGCTACCAGCGAAGAGATCCTGGGTTTGCCCCATGAGCCTGACGATGCGTCGATGCGGAGAATACGACCGGGAACCAAATCTGCGGATATGTCGGCGGGGCCTCCCCTAGTTCCCCTCTCTCAAGTTGGTCCATCCCAACATGTCTGTCTTCTCCGTGGCTGGCGCTAACCATTGTCGCGATCCAGCTCGATTCCCCATTTCAATTACAGGAGCACCTTAAAGCATTATATCAGCACTACACTAGGCCTACCGACTCCTCGACTCTAAATCCCATAACCCGTGACATTGCGCGGGATCTCGCAGAGCCTCCGGAGGGAGTAGAACGGTCGCTATGGCTTTATGAGCTCTGTCGATTCCTCACCATGAAAGCGAACAACCTCATCGTCGCTTTTTTTGCGGAAGATCCTCCTTGTTCTGCTCAAACATGCCCCGAAATGCGTGCATCCGAATGGCAATACTTATGTGCCGTCCACGATCCTCCAAAATCATGTTGTGCTATTGATTACTGCTGTCACACTCTTGACTGGGCTGCGAATATCTTGACATCTCCAAAATACTTCCCGAGCAGATTGACTCTTGGCTCGGAGTCATCCGGGGGACCCCAAACGAGCATGAAGCACCTTACCAACATTTTCCGCCGTGTTTATCGGATATTTGCCCATGCATGGTTCCAACATCGTGAGGTATTTTGGCAGGTTGAAGGCCACGACGGTCTGTATATTTTCTTTAAGACGGTCTGCGACGTCTATAATCTCATTCCAGAGGACAACTATACGGTCCCAAAAGAAGCAGAAGGACTCCAGCCACCCAGCAATCCAGACCCGGAGCATGACTCCAATAAACGAATGACCATTATGCGGAAAGAATCAGAAACTCGAGCAGAGAAGCCAACTACAGACGAACAGTCAGAGCAGACCATGTTAAATGTTGCAGCTACCACCAGGCGGCATAAAGCCACTCCCTCAGTCGGGGCCATTGTTCCGACTATCACAGAAGCAGCAGAAGACGACGACGACGACACAAACAAAAATAGGCAGCTACCTGATGAGGAAGACTCTGATTTAAAACTCCCCGATCCTTCAGTTTCTGAAACAAAACCCGGTCAATCGTCAGTCCCATCCGTAGAAGCTCCCGCGAATGACGAAAACTTGACTGAAACACGCGCACCTGACGATGACGGGATGGAGAAATCGGGAGCAATCACACCGCCACCGGTCGAGCCAACATCAGAGAGCGATTCACAAGAGCAGAGCGAAAAATCCAATGACTCTCCCAAACAGGAAGAATCGAATGATTCCCTCGTAAACAAAGAAATAGACGTCTTCGAACCAGATACTCCAGTTGACGATTCGAAAGCTATCGAGGTAGATTTGCCAAAAGAAGACCCAACAATCCCCGAATCAGAAACGCCGAAACCAGAAAACGACTCCTCTGATGAGATTACTGATATTGACCCTGTTAGTCCCGATCTCCCGGGAAGTCCAGGCAGCCCTGAAGCCCCTACTACCGCAATTGAAGTCAAAGCTGCTGACTCGGACAAACCTTTCTGAACTTGTCTCTCGTCTCAGCATGCTACGATTGATAATTCGCCTTTTTTGCCTATTTTTCGTTCTTTTAAAATCATCTGCTTCTTCCTCAAGGAAACTTTTCAGCGCCTCTTTATCCAGAATATATATTTATAATCCGCTTTAATGTGTGTACATGATATACCGTATGTAGATGTATGTCTTAGTCGTCTTTTATTCTCTCATTTTCATTCATGGTTCGTGCTTACATACTTCTTTCTGAGCCGCTATTCTCAAATGAGGAATTCCGGGGCTCCCCTTCCTGTTCGATTCTCTACCCCCTTCGCTTTTCTATCAAGCGCAAATCGCTTTTATTCTACTGAAGAAAATTGATTGTGGCGCTAGAATGTATCGAGTATATGTATATGGCAGTATAATTGGATAGATACCCTTGCCAACTCACCTACGGTTATTTTCATTTGTTATCGAAAGATGTCTTTTTCTGTTTCTTTTCCTCTCCGTATTGGAAAATGTCTAGGGGACGAACAATTACGATTTCAACCTTTTAACCATCTAAGCACCGATTCTTTCGGCCACTGCATGTATAGGTGATCTCTGTACGGCGTAACACCGTTCAATATCTTGCATTTAGACTGACATAGGGGAACATGAAGGCGAGATTTTATGCTTGGTACATGTGTGTGTAACACACTAGGGCAAAGCTGGTTCGACAGAATATGTCTAGCAGTAGCTAGACGGACTCAACAAAACTGAAGTTTGAGAGCTTGGTTCCGCCTTTAGAGGTTTCCCTATTTCACGTCAACAGCAAGAGCCATTGTTGAATATGCGTCACAGTCGATATGTCCAAAAGCCACGATAGAATTTCCGATGGCGATAGCTCTGAGCGACAGGTTGTGTTCTGGGCGCACTCCTCCCACTTTACGGAGCCCTGACAAAGCCTCTGTACGAATGGACTGAAGTTCTTTTCTTCCGGCGTGGCCATTATTATCCCCGTTTCTTTGTCTGCCGTGATTGTCAGGAAGAGAATCTTTAGAAGGCAATAGCAACGGTATGTGGGAATGGCAATTAGATATGCAGAGCAAATCCCATGGTGTGTTTGCCATGCGTGAGCAGCGGTATGTCGTGGATTGGATAATTCTCAACAATTGGACTCTGTAGAGACACTGTTGAGCTTCGCAATCCATATGGGCTGGAGATCCAGAACTTGACCCCATCAGATACCAGTGAGCACCTAAATACAAAAGTTCGAATAACTTTCATCGTATCTCTCAACATCACGTATCCATAAGAGCTTGGCGGATAGCTGCTGTGGAGCTTGAGGAAGGGGCAGTTTTCTTTCATTCCTTCTTTCACAGCTCGTCTTCTCTAACAACATCGAAAGCGTTTCAATGGCCCGCATTATTTCAAGATGGGAGGTGAGACAAGTTGGGATAACAAAAATAAATTCCAAATCCTATTAAAATTGGTTATAGATGTCCATATGCTATAAATGCCGTATAGTTCATAATATCGTAAAATCGGGCAATTTTGCCCAGCGAAGAAAACACCAGAAAATGACAATCCAAAAAAAAAAGGAGCGAGGAGAGAAATACATATATACATGAGAAGTGACACAAAACGGAAGCGAAAACTCAACCCAGGAGATCGGTCTCTTGACGATAAAGCAATATCCAGTATCGTCATGGGGAATAAAAATAGATAGCGTTTAATAATAATCATTGGAAGGGTATCACTCAGAGGACAACACATTGTTCATTCGATTTTGGAAAGTCACCATGACTTGAATAGCGGGGGTTACTGAGAATCCGGGCTAGTAGTCGATGGTGATGACACTCGCTATTCGCCCCACGATAAGAGGGTTGGACGAAACATGGATTATAACTTGAAGAGGATTGTGATGTACGTTGTGTTGCTTTGAGCGTCTATAGGTAATGATGGCTTTCCAGTGAAATGGTCTCGGCTAAGAGTGGGGATGTGGGCCGCGGGGGGGCGCTGCGGGGTTGCTTGATGGGGGCATCGGGAGTAGCGCAAAATGGCAATGCTATTCCGTGTTTGTGATGTGCATTTCTACTGGCGATTGAAAACAAGTTAGTTCTGTCATTTTGAGTTACCAAGACGGAGTCATACACTAATTACTTACTTCAATCCTTCCAATCAAGGTAAAGTTGTTTCCACTTTTCGTGGAATGGAGCGATCTTCTCATCTTGTCAAGAGCAGGGCTTGATTGGCTTCTGGGAAAGGTCATCGAAGAAAATAATGTGACGAACCATGCATGGAAATACCGCTCAGACTTGGCAAAAATGTAAAAATGATGAAAAGGTGAAGCAGAAGAATTTTATTTCATGGGGGAAAAGAAAAATATTCTCAAAATCTCCAAGGAATTCCATTGCCAAAAATAAAACCATGAGGTTGCAAAGTACATGAAGAAGAAGGCGTAATAAGGTAATAATAATAAATGCGGTGACAAGGGGCGGGCCAAACCGTTCAGGAACTGTCAATGCCCATGCTCGCAAAAACAAAGCATCGCCGGAAACCAAGAGGGATCATTGGTACCTCGGAAAACGACGCTGGGAAGCCAAAAAAAAAAAAAAAAAGAAAAAGAAAAAGACCAAAATCAAAAAAGTAAATAAAGCCAAAATGAAAAACACCATAAAGTTAACAAAGTAACCTATGATTGACAATTTACCATCCAAGCATTGCAAAAATTTCTTCATGCCAGTATCTCTAAATATGCTGTCGTTAAAATGAAAATGGGCTCGTTTGCCCGCAATGAAATGGGTGCGGAAGTTGGAACACAGAAAGTCGGAATCCAGTTACATTCGTAGAGTGATACATGGAACAGAGCATTGCCGACGTATCCGCCCGTTGAAAATGGATATTAAAATTATCCCGTAATTCAATAGTTTCTTATAGGCAAGTATATCGAGTGGACAAGGAGTTGAACGAAATGTCGAGTTGGCTCTGCTCTCAGGACACAGCATGGTATGTAGCATTGATAGCCAGCCCCGACCGAACGGAAAAGAGAATGTGGGATGGGAGGGTCGCGAATAGTATGGCACCCTGTGAGGAATATATGTTTGCCGAAAGACTTTCACTTCCCAAATTGACGTTCTCGGCTATCAATCAGCAGCATCAGAATGATGAGGGTGAGGACTCATTGGAAGTCGTGGTGAGACGGGATCCTTAAAAGCTGGATTAATCGGTAATTCCGATTGGAAAAGGTCATCAGAGTGGCCAGTTGCACAACTTAATGGCATTGAAATTCCTTTTGTGTTAGAAAGGAAAAACGACTCCAGGGATACCAATGGTGAATTCGATCCATCCTTGGACTCCCTGGAGAAAAGGGAAGTTTTATGTAACGTTTTTAAAATGGTATTATTATTAGCTGGGTTAATTGGCAATTCCGAGAGAAAAAGGTCCTCTATTCGACAACTATGTTGCAAAGTAGATTCTGTTTGAATAAACGGAGTAATTGACCTTGAAGGGATGGAGGTGCCAACATCCTGAATGGCTTTGGAACGAAATAAATGGTCATCCTGTTGTTTTAGTTCAAAATGCAAGTCCTTGAAAGCCGGGTTAATTGGTAGCTTTGACGAAAAGAGCAGATCATCTTGCCTCCCCGATCCAGAAACGTATTTGCCAGTGGGTTTTATTGACAGCTCCTTTGACTCAAAACGCACGTCATCCCGCTGTCCGGGATCAGTGAGGTCTTTTAAAGCAGGGTTAATCGGCAATATCGATAAGTGCAAGCTTTCACAACGCTCACTTTGGGTATCCTGCTGCCTGGAAGAATCCATTGAGGAATCCGTGGAATTAATTTTTGTCGAATTTGAGGGCTCAAATTCGGGCTTTGAATACTTGATATCACCCGGAACAGTTGAAGTGAATGCGGGGTTTATAGGCAAAGACGAGTCAAGTAAGTCTTCTTGACTTATGCCTGAAAAGTATGGGGAACCAATGTCCATATTTTGCACTAGTGGCTCTGTTTTTTCAACGGCCTCAATAGGGGTGTGATATACTTTTTGTCCATCGCTCTCAATGCCATCATGGGAGGATGCCAGTTCCTTTGGTAACTGTAGCTCCCCGTACCGGTCATCAAGCATCATTAGATTATACTCAATACCGCACGAGAGATGCTGCCCGACACCGGTGTAAATTTCATCCAGAGAACTCTCAAACGCCAGAGTGCTATAAATTGCTGAGCACAGACCAGCCCTCGAGTGGTTTCCTAGTTCAATATCAACCTCCTTGGTAGGAAAATCCAGGGTGTTCTCTTCGATTTCAAATTCTGCAAATTGTGCATTCACCTCTGGGAAGTCACAGGAAAGGCGTTGGGGTCCGATATCGACACACGGTTCGTAAAAAGTTACGTCTTCCGAGTCCGGTACCGATTTTGGTCCACTAGTGAATTGAATATCGTTAGCAGGTTGCTCAAGATATCCGCAATTCCATATAGAAGGGTTCTCATCCAGGCATTCGGAATCATCAGGCATTTCCACTGGAGGATGTGTCAGCGCCTCCACGCTGCTCGCTACAAGCTCCTTCGTTAAAATCATGGAATCCTGAGGGAATAAACCAAGCAATTCTTTGGCTGGGAGTCTGTTTTGAGGGCTGGTGCTGAGGCAAATGTCAACGATTGTTCGGTAGTAGTCAGGAACTTTCCTATCGACTGGGATAATGAATGGTCTAGCCTCGCTGCCGGGTTCATCTATTTCCATAGCAAGAGCCCAAAGCGTCATTCCCAGCTGATATAGGTCAGATTTCACCCCGATGTACATTGATATCTTTTGCTTGCTTTGTAATAGCTTCGTGAATTCTGGGGCCTCCCACCCCACCGGACAGCCCCTCCGATTGATATCAATTATTTTCGCGTCGTCACTAGCGTCAACAACAATATTTGACACGGTGAGATCTCCTTGAACAAAACCAGCTTCGTGAATTTCGGCAAGGCCTTCGATAATTTGTCGTGCCCAGTGCGCTCGCCTAGACCATTCAATAGTTCCTTTATAGTCGTAGATCAACTCGATCAATGAGCCCTTTTCCGCGAAGTTTATTAAAAGGCCTTTGGTAGTCAACATATCATCATCCACAACGATAGCTTTTAGTTGGATGACGCTCTGGGAACCGATTAAGGCATATAGCGCGTTAATCTCATAAAGGAACTCATTGACCATATCCGGCCCTGGAATTTCTTTCTTTACATAGTCCTTCCCATTTAGCTTCACTTGGTAAGCAAAACCAGATAAATGGGCAACAAATGAAAGATCGCTCTCGCGGACCATATCCAATCCTAGATATTCAACAGTAGATATTGGTGGATAAGGAATGATCTCATTCATATCCTCTGTGACGTGAACATGAAGCCGACCTTCCCTAGTTTCTAACCTAAGATTAGTCACAGTGTCATAGAACTGGATTTCAGGTAGAGAGTCGCGGATCGATTCATATATCCGAGCATTTTTATCCCGTTGGTAGTACAATTTTTTGAGATCCCGTTCCAGAGAATCTGGTTCGGCATTTCTATAATCGCAGGACACGGTAACTCTCAGCCATTTATTTGGGGTCTCTGCGTATGTGACGAAAAACTTTTCTCGTTCAGAACGATCTCGAAAGTGCATGCTCAGATTCAATATCCATTTCTTGTCCATCTCCTTCTCCAACATGTCTTCTGCCTCCTCCCCATCGATTGAGAAGGTGCCGTCAGTATGGGTACCAGAATCATAGTGATTCGGTGCATGTAACGGCGAATTATCTACCCATGAAGGAATGGTGAAATTTTTATCGTGATACTGCACCTCTGGCGCTGACAATCGTGCGGTAGAAACCGGTGGTGATGATCGAGTTCGATGGAAACTGCTGGGTCGCCGTCGGTCCACGGAAAGCGTTCGACGACAGCCTGTTTCTGTGGGGTAAAGGCGGTCTCGCTGTTCAGAATTCTGTCGCTTGAAGGTTGTATTGCGGGGCAGGCCCACTTCAACTCCACTCGATGCTGGTCGGGGACGGTTATTACTGTTGTAGTCCGCGCTTTGACTACTAGCATCGCTCCTCTCATTGTAAGATGCGGGATCACGAAAACTTTGAGATCCCCGGGAGGGCGAACGGCGGTTGTTCTTTCCAAGCCATGGAAACCCCAATCGATGCCACACGCTCCGCTTGGACGGGGGAGTCTTCTGAAGGTTAGGCATGGGAATGCAATGTTGAGTCGGAGACCCAGGTCTGTCGAATATCGAGATGGCCATGCAGCACAATCTGGAGTGGGCTCTGGCTCCTCAGCCGCGACACGGGTGAGGTAAACAGCCGGCTGAATAAGATCGATGTGTCCATATGAAAAGGAGAAAATAAAAAAAATAAAATTGATATACCCCGATTGGGAACTGTGCGCTTATGGTGGATTGCAGTTCGCTCAGCAGTTTGTAGAACAAGGGGTGTCCATGCATATGAATTGAGTAAATAGTTGCATGTGGATTTGGAAATCTGGTTATCTGCTCGGGACCATCCGCAGGAGAGGCTTTATACTCAATCAACTGCAGGGATTTTCAGTGAAGCAGGTCAGTTAGGCCGGCTCATTCCAAATAACAAACGGGTTGGATCGTTCAGGAAACGTTCACAACCCAGCAAGGCAACAGACGACGAATACGGGGGTAATGATGGATGTGATGGTCGTAATGATATCAATTGCTTGAACGTAGTGAAGCGGATAAAAGCGACGGGCGCAGGGGCAATTATCGAATATAAAATCGCAGAGGATTCGTGGTGGTTCCTATTTGTTGTTGTTGTTGTTGTTGTTGTTTGTTGAAAAACAGATGAGGCTGATGTCGCTAAAAAAAATCAATTTATGAATTTTTGAATTTCTTGTTTTCCTTTTTCATTTTTATTTTTATTTTTCATTCATTTTTTTTTTCATAGTTTTCACCGCTGAACCAAACCCAATGAGCTTCGCACACTGGTCCTACCCTGGCCCTACCTTTCCCTTGCTCCGCTCTCATATTAATTGAGCCTGCTAGTTATTGATTTGCAAAGAACGGCCACGAGTAGGTTAGCAATAGGCAGGTAGGGATCAAAGCTGAGCACTCGGTTGCTGCACTGACAAAGAATTAACAGACATACTTGGACCCGGATATGCATGTCGACCTAAGAGAACGCAATTGGTGGCAGAGGCATGGGAATGGGCCGCCTTTGTCTCCCCAGCTAATAATACGGGAGGATGCCTTATCAGCCATTCATTGCTGCGCTGTTGGAACAGGTACAGGTTCCTAGCTGGATTGTTCTGGAAAGGCTCTATCGATCTCTTCTCACCTGGTGGCCAGTGGCCTCCAGAAATATTTCCAGAGCAACATACGGCTGCGATTAGCTACAGTGCCAGGTCAAAATTGTCGCACCTGCAATTGTGATGAAATATGATCCTTGGATGCCGTAACGAACGGTACATCAGTCCATGTGGGCAGGTCACATTTCTTCCGTGTGAAAGAGAAATGAAAAAAAGACTGGAAGAATCAAAATTTGTCATCCTTGGCTCGCATACCTTTGCAATGAGCCCTATGTAACTAACCTCTGCAGGATGAAAAAATAAGAATAAAAATAAAAAATAAGGCAAAGCAAATCACCTGTGGCGCGGTCTGAACGGGGATTAAACGGCCACCAAGCTGAGTGCTCCACCAGGAACCCCTCCATCATTTTGAGTTGGTTGTTCGCCAACGAAATTCTACGAGGGGCAAATCCCACCATGTCATCTTTCATTCTGAAGGTTTCCCTGATCCCGCATTAGCCGTGGGATTCGAGTTGTTGGGCGCTCTTTTGGTAAGGCGCTGCTTGTTCATTATGTTCTCCAACTTATGCAACCATGCCTTAGTCGATTTTCTCGAGTGTGTTGGCTCCAATTGACCATACAGGATTCTAGATCACCTTCTCCGTACTCACCTTTGGATGGAGGGTGAAGCCAGGCATATGGCACTCGGGACCCCCAATGCGGTTTCTTACAGGTGGCCCTGTTGTACCGACACGACCGCTGGCTCATTTCCTTTATCACTCGAATTCGTTGTTAACTCCATTCCATCGAGCTAGGCAGGTCGTCTTTCCGTTAGCTAACCTCCACGTCAATGACTTGGATAATTGCATAATATCCCGATACTGGTTTAACCTAGTCCTCCCACTCTTTCGCCCTAGATGAGAACCTCGACTTCGAAAGGTAGGATGAGTGGTGAAGAACTACAGAAACCATTGTTAATGCGTCCCGGTTAAAGAGTGTCAAAGCCTTTCGTTTTCCTTATTCAGTTCCATTATTGAATTATTCAGAGCTATGAGTAATTGGCTTGCCTCCACCAGGGTGAGTTTCATGCTCATATTTTGATGTTGCCATTGTTGACGTGTTAGGACTTCCCCGCCCCGTTTCGGATTTACCAACGCCCAAGGCAACCTGTCTATAAAACTGTTGAATTGTCAGGCACAACAGCCTCGACTTCGCCTTGACAAGAGTATTTTGGTAAGAACACTTTCGACAAGAATACTTGCGCGAAGAACAAAACGGATACGACCACTCATGGCCGACAAGCTCCATCCTATTGACAAAAGGCATCCTTACCTTCGGTCAACCCAGAAATCGAGAGCTCCCAGTCTGCTGATCTTTCTCCTATGCATAATGAAATCTTCCTGGCAGATCAATCTCAACCTTTTCTTCGTAGTACATCGGAACGTGGGTGATAGCGTGACATTCTGCTTCTTTCCAAGGTTGAGACCCTTATATCCATGAATTATTGTTGCCAACGAGCAAGGGGTGGACCTTCGCGTGGTTATTGTCGCTCTCTCGGGGCAAAATCGGGGATGACCTGCGGCGGCCACCTTCACCCGCAAGCAGGTTTCCAATAATATCTCCAAGGAAAGAAAAATACCAAGCCCCTGTGAATGTGCTTAAACGCGCGCAGGAGGCCTGCATGCCCCCCGGTTTCCCTGTGCCAAGGGACTCCAGGCAACCAAATTGAAACCCTACAGTTCGCAGGAGTAAATATGCATGAAATTTTGGCGAGCCGCTTGCTGCGTATTCTCTCAATGCTCCCGCAAGAACCCAAGCCAGAAATTTATTGAAATTGACGATTGAGTCAAAAGGACAATTCTCTTTCTCCTCTATCGTTGAAACATCTGCCTCGTTTCTCCGCCCTGCCCAGAGTTACAAGTCGCGGCTTTTCAGGCAAAGGCATAGCGCAAAATGTCCTTTAGTGTAAAATGGATGTCAAAGGTCTCCTGGCCACCATTTGTCTTTTCGCCTGGTGCACCAGAAACACTGCCCCAATCCTTGAACCAGGAGCACAAGAAGTAAAAAAGCAGACGATGAACACTTCTTCTACCTCCATTGGCCTTCAAAACCGAAATTTTCAGTTCCAAGACATTCCCACAATTTGGCAACTCCCAACCGCAATCACAACTTCCCAGCTGACCATGCAATTTGGCCCTCTAGCGACCGCGTATTTAAGGAGGTAGGACCCTGCGCTAGCAGACCAGGCGGTCTATTTCCCACTCCTTCTCACCATCTGACACGCAGATATCATCTCTCTTGTAACATTTTTGACAACCTGGACCAAGCAGAGTCTCCAACGTCTGAAAGATTTGCTCGCGCATGAAACCACCTGCTAGTGATGCATGAGCAAAGAAGTAGCAGTCTTCTATAACTTAAAATATCCCGACCAAACATAGAAAAACTCCTCAAAAGCAACTAGCTGTTGGGAAATGAAAATATCTACCGTAGTAGATCACTCCTACTATCTCCCTCCCCTCGCCCATCCGAATCATGTATTTGCATTCCATGCCAATGGTGCACAGGACCTTTCTTCTCCATAAGCTGATAGATCAGCTACCGTCTTGGTGGTAAGGTGCGCTAGTAGAGAATTTGAATCCCTCCTGAACATAGTGAGTTGCGGGTGAGCCATGGCATTCTTGCTTTCGACGTATGCCCTATGCGGCGTATTTAACTTTATATGCGGAGGGATTGGAAAGACCAAACCACCACCATGTCATGAGACTTTTTTATTCTCCCGCTGCATCTCTTTCCTCACAATTCCTCGTAGCTCTCAGAAGGCGAAACCCCAATACTGAGGAGACGATGGCACTTTAAATCGAACATCTTGAATGTCTCGTCCATGTCTTGTACTTGTAATTGTTTTAGTGTTATCCCCACACAATACAACATCTATGGTTTTTATTCTCGTTTTTATATATGGCCTTAATATGTCAATGACGCCTTTTCTCTCCCGAGCCCGCATGAAGATTTTTGGGAAAGAGGGGATGAAATAATAGGGGTATATAATAACAATGATAGAGGGAAGAGAGGCGAATAGTACAAATGATCTGCAGACTCCAGAGAGCGGTAGATCTCCGGGCGGACAAGCATATCAAACAAACAAAATAAAGGCGGTGCGGAACTATAAATAACTCCGGGCCCATGCATTGAATGAAGAGGGAAGAGTTACATCAGACCTATATAGGCTAAGGGCATAAAAGAAGGGGTAGAAATCTATCAGGACAGAAGGAGGAGGAATATAATAATAGGCATAGCTTTAGAGTAGCTGTCCAAAGTACAAAATGTTAGAGAGGTCTAGAGAGGGGAAAAGAACGGATATGAATTGCGCTTCAGACCCCGATTCATTCGTCCTCCTCTTTGGCGTTGGTATCGGATTTAATGACGCTGGGAGCCACTTGGAGTTGGGGTTTCCATTTGATTTGCGCCTGAACCTTGTCAAGATCGCGGAACACGATGTCAAAGACTTCTGAGTACCAATTGACGGGATGCCCTTCGATGCCCTTTTTGATGTTCTGTAATGTTTTAAGAAGAGAACGGAAGGTTAGTCTTGGAAATAAGTCTCAGAAACAATTTCGGTATGGTGGGTGGCCAGGAGGAAAATTGGGAATGAATTTTTATATCTTCTGTTGAGAAGGAGAACGAAAGGGAACAAACCTCTGGTAACTCCAGCCAATCCGACATATTATCAGCTGGAAAGATGATTGATTTGGCGCCAGCTCGTCGAGCAGCTACGGTCTTTTCACGGAGGCCACCGATACGGAGAACTTTGCCTGTCACAGTAAGTTCGCCGGTCATAGCGATGGTAGGGTCCAGGCGATGGTCAAGAGCGAGGGAGAGCAGCGACGTTGCCATCGTGATACCAGCAGACGGTCCTGTACTACTTTAGCTTGCTGAATGCTCAATTCACTGCTTTTTTGTTTAATCTTGTACATACCATCCTTCTGCACAGCACCCTCTGGACAATGCAAGTGGACTTTTGCATGCTCAAAAAACTTATTCCCTGTGAACTCCTTAGCCATCAAAGATTTAGCAAACGAATATGCGATAACGGTCGACTCCTTCATGACATTCATCAAATTCCCGGTCTGTTCGAGACCTGGGCGGGACGTTGGCGACAGCGAGGTATCCAAAATTGACTCCACATATAAAGCGGCTCCTCCCATGCTAGTCCACGCGAGACCCATAGCTACACCTGGGGGAGTGACATCGTAGAGCCTATCAGAGGTGAAAATGGGCGGACCGACGTAATCTTTCAGGTTATCTTTATTTATTGAAACGTGAATATTTGCCGGAACATGTACCGCGACTAGAGGAGCCGGCACCGATTCAGTGGGATTCTCGCCCCCTTCGACAACACTCTCCTCGCCCTTTTTCTCCTGGTCCAACGCTGGTTCCAACTCCTCTCGAACGGCAACTTCTTCAGCATCCTTCTCCTGCTCTGGCAGATCCTGAATAATTTTCAATGCCGCTTTTCTATAAACCTTCTCTATTTGCTTTTTTAGATTTCGCACTCCGCTCTCTCGACAGTAGGATTTGATAAGTTCTTCAATAGCATCTTTCTCCAATGTCACATCAACATCCTTCAAACCGCTCATTTCCTTAGCAGAAGGCGCCAGGTATCGCTCCGCGATAGCCATCTTCTCATCGGCAACATACCCAGAGAGCTCAATCATTTCCATTCTGTCCAGCAAAGGTCGCGGAATCGTGTCGGTCATATTAGCTGTGCATACGAACAGAACTTTCGACAAATCCACCGGGACGTCCATATAATGATCCAAAAAGGAAGAGTTCTGCTCCGGATCCAAGAGCTCGAGAAGGGCCGACGCAGGATCTCCCTGGTGTCCTCGGCCGATCTTATCTACCTCATCGATAAGGATCAGAGGGTTTTCGGTTTGGCATTTTTTCAGCGCTTGGATGACGCGACCTGGCAAAGCGCCCACATAAGTACGTCGATGGCCCTTTATCTCCGCTACATCCGTAAGGCCACCAACACTGAATCGATAGTACTCTCGATTAAGAGCCCGCGCGATTGACTTCCCAATACTAGTTTTCCCGACGCCAGGGGGTCCCACAAAACATAAAATTTTCCCTTCAACAGTTCCGCGAAGTTTCCCCACAGCAATGAACTCTAAAATACGATCTTTGACGTCTTCCAGGCCATAGTGGTCTTCGTCCAATACAGTGATTGCATTCTTAATACCAAACGTCTCTGGACTCCTCTTACCCCATGGAATTTGCGTTATCCAATCAAGGTAATTTCTTGTGACGTTAAATTCCGAAGCTGCGGGTTCGAGATGTGCCAATTTATTTAGCTCTTCGTCAAACACCTTCTTCACGGCTTCAGGCATAGCAAGTTTCTCCGATTTCTCCTTGAACTTTTCCACTAGTTTTTCCTTGCCATCGGATTCGATACCAAGTTCACGTCGAATACCCTTCATCTGCTCCATCAGCCAATATTCTCGTTGCCGCTTTTGAATTTTGGCTTCGACATCCTTCGATATTTTCGACTGCAGCTGAGCATTCATGAGTTCCTTTTTAAGTACCACAAGGGCTTTGGAAAGGCGTTCCTGGATATTCATTGTATCTAACACATCTTGTAACTCCTTGACTTCACCAGCGGAGACGGCAGCAGCGAAATCAGCCAGATTTGCGGGTTCATCCATGATATTGCCAGCGTGGCTCATGGAAAATGTCGAGATCTGATCACGGAAAAGCGGGTTCAAATTCGCAATATCCTTAAAGACATTGACAATCTCATTCGTAACGGCGCGAATCATGGAATTCTCCTTGTCATATGGCTCCTCTGTGAGATTTTCAACATTGACTATGCTGACAGGATATTTGTGTAAAAATGATGTTGGTTCATAAGGGGTCTCCTTAGGCAGCTGCTCCAACGCTGTTTCTTCAAAACTGGCGACAACATCGCCTTGTTTTTCGGGTGCTGCTTCCTTTGTAATCTGCTGGTCGATTTCAGCTTTCTGCGACGTGTCACGGGGTGGTATTAACGACGATATCTTAATTCTCCGGTGAGGATATAGCACTGCAGTCAATGCATTCTCGGTCCCATGTACAGGAAATACACTTGTGATCTGTGCAAACACACCAACATCATGTACTTCTTCCATATCCTCAATCACATCCCTATCCGCCGCTTCATCCCTGAACAAGAAAGCACCGACATATGGCTGTCCGCGTTTCATCATTTCCTGTATAGCAGAGACGACATTGGGGTCCCGGACGGTAACTGCCTTGTAGTACCCGGGGAACAGCGGTCTCCGCGCAATTGGAATAGCCATAACCTGTGGGTACACATCCGGTATCGTAGCCTTTTGTAGCGCCTTTTCGGCAGAACTTTTCCTCCCCCTCCTCCCACCATCACTGCCGCTTCCAGAACCAGAGCGTCCTCCTCCAGGAGCACTTGTGCCGCTGGGTTTTGAATCCGCGGGCGAGGCAGCAACGGGTATAGGTGATGGCGTCTCTGAAGTTTTATCCCTCCCTTCCGATGGTTTGCCAGGCCTTGGATTTTCCTCCTGATTCTTCTCTGTCTCACTACCCTCCTCCTTCTCCTGTTTCAACTCCGGAGGTTGCGGCTTTTCTTTTCGGCGGGCAGTGGTTGATGAGAAACTTCGTGCTGCCGATGCAAATGGCGAATGATGTGGTGTCCGTGCCTCGAGACTCGAACTGATGTAAATCCGGTAGGAAGAGGAGGAAGGGTATTTACATGGGAGACTCCGCGACAACGTTTGGCGAAGGACTGCCCTCCATGGCAGGCTCTGGGCCCGAATCATAGTTCCGATATGAGCCTGGACGGGGAGCTCTCAAATGAGTGCACGTGGCGGAGATTGGCATACAATCTGCACATCCACTATCTCCCAAACAGAGTTACAGAAGAGACACTCAGGCGGAGGAGAGTGAAAGGGTTGTGAAATTAATCAACAAGCGAATCTACATTTTCTCCTGTATGGTGAGATGGAGAGAATCCAATCGAATGACAGGACTCCGGCGTAATATTGTTCCGGAAACAACCAATATTAGTCATGCAACAATTTTTTTCCCGCAAGCGACGGAGGAGAACGAAACAATGCTACAAGGACCATCACCCTACTAGATATCCAGCTATCCAGTGGTCTCGTATACCCGGTCTTGCCTCTGCATACAATCTGCCTATCTTAGCGCACCCTCCTGCATTGGTGCATTGCTCCTTTGTTTTAAAATGAGCGCGGGGGCTCCCAGTATACCCAGAGCTGCCGTCATCCCGGCTCGTCTTCTCCGGACTTCACGACACTGCTCTAACCAATGTTCGTCGATACGATCTCAGATCCAGTCGAAATTCCAAAATGATCGCAGGGACTACCATGATAAACGACCATTTCCAAAACCATTGAACAACTGCAGTGCACGTCCATTCACGAAGGTATGTCAGTTTACAATATAATCCACACGACGTAAATGAGCTGCTGACCACCGGCTCCTGTATATCTCCTCAGGCTTTCCATGCATCTGCGCTGTGTCAAGCTACACGCGACCCTTACAGTGTCCTCGGAGTAGGCAAAGATGCGTCTGCTGCAGACATTAAAAGAGCTTACTATGGACTCGCCAAAAAATATCACCCCGACACGAACAAGGATGCCAATGCAAAAGAAAAGTTTGCGGAGGCACAGTCTGCGTACGAGCTACTTTCGGATTCGGAAAAAAGACAAGCCTATGACCGGTTTGGCTCGGCAGCCTTTGATCAGAACGGCGGGTTCAATCCCGGAGCCGGCGCTGGTGCCGGTGGTCCATTCTCTGGAGCAACCGCAGGTGGATTCCACGGGTTTGGCGGGGGTTTCCCTGGCGGGGGGTTCTCTGCGGATATAAATTTTGAGGATCTATTTGGTGCTTTTACAGGAGGTGCAGGCCGGCGGGGTCGTTCGGGAGGGCCATTCCGATCCTCAGTAGTCGAAGGAGATGATATCGAGGTACAGACGAACATCTCTTTCATGGATGCTGCCAAGGGGACGACGAAGGAGATTCATATCACTCCGCTTGTTCAATGCAGAACGTGCAATGGTGAAGGGACGAAACCGGGTAGGAAGCGGGCACAGTGCAAAACTTGCGGTGGCACAGGATCACAGGTTCATTTTATTCAGGGAGGATTCCAGATGGCTAGTACCTGCGCCTCGTGCGGAGGCGCTGGTGTATCGATTCCGAGAGGTTCGGAATGCAATAGCTGTGGCGGCGATGGTGTAGTCCGGGAACGCAAAACAGTGCATGTCAACATCCCGGGGGGTGTGGAGGATGGCATGCGACTGCGGGTCCCAGGTGAGGGAGACATGCCCACAGTAGAACCTGGTGCTCGAACGCAGCGTGGCGATTTGTATGTCTACATCAAAGTCGCCCCTGATTCGCGCTTCAGCAGAGCCGGTTCCGATGTGCTATACACGGCACAGATTCCTCTCACAACTGCACTACTGGGTGGTGAAGTCACGGTACCAACACTAGATGGAGAAGTCAAGGTCAAAGTGGCCACGGGAACTGGTACTGGGGATAAAATCACCCTGTCAGGGATGGGGATGCGGAAGCTTGAAGGCCGCCGCGGCCAACAGGGTGACCTCAAGGTTGAATTCAAAGTTGCCATGCCGAAATACCTGAATGCCAATCAGCGAACGATCCTGGAGGTACTTGCTGACGAGATGGGCGACAAGACTGCTCGTCGGACAATGAACATCCACACAAACGACAAGTGAGTAGAAAGCCCGTCAAGTGTAAGATGCCGTGATGGGCGGAGAGTTGACCACGTATATTGTTTTCTTTCTTTAGGTCCTCTTCCCCCGACTCATCGACAACAAACAAAGACAGTGGCAGCACATTCAGCGGCAACTCACACAAAAACGAAGGCTTCCTCAAATCAGCGTGGCACAAACTCATGAATCAGCACGGCAGCGGCAGTGGCGGCGGAAGCAATTCCACTGAAAAATCCAATAATGCTGACGACGGGAACAAAACTGACGAATCGAAGAAAGCCTCCGGTTCAGGATGATGCATATATCCCACATTTTTCTAAGATGTTGGAGTGTTGTTGTTTTCACCCTGTCTTTTGTTTGTTGCTTTTATTCATAGCGATTGCAAGCCAGGGATATCCCTCATCTTGTTTTTTTACCTTCTTGTACATGTCGCTTCCTCCTAATGGTTGGCTTCAACATTTTCCGTTCGTTGTTTTATTTGACTTTCTTGGAGTTGTATGATTAAATTAATGCATGGCGAGGTTGGACATTTAGACATTGGGGGGGAATGGATTGGATTTTCCCATTTCTCACAACCTCTTGTACAGTACAATACCACGAAGTTACTACTAATGTATATAGCAAACATCTCCGCTGCAGTCAAGCTCGATTTGTGACAAAAGAAATCTGGCACAATTCATATAGGATAGTGGCATGCTAAGTGGAAGTATGGTTATCAATCATATTATAACACTGCCTCAATCCTCTATCGGAACTTTGGTCCCAGAGATCCAGTATATAAACTAGATCGCGCCCAGCAACAATAGCATTGTCCTCATGCCTCCAAGCGTACTATCTCTAGTGCCGTGCAGTGGTGGCCCGGCGCCTGCCAATCGCAAGCCATAGCTCGGCCTGTTCCATTCATCAATGCCCATGGTTGTCGATATGTTCCCTCTTCCAGCCAACCCGACCTAAGAATAACTTTGACATCAGCTCACTAACTCGAATAACCCGGGCTTCGAGAAGAGGTGTCGGCCCTCAGCGTGCCACCTTATCCCTTATTTTTGTTCCCTTTCTTCCGCTTCCTCCCTCCCACTCTTTTTCGTTCAAGGTTGAAGTCATGTGTTGCGTGGCCCGGGTTTCCAGCTAGTTAAATGGGTTGAGTTATAGTTCAAGGTCGAATTAAGGACCAGATTTTGCATGCGCTTTAGCCCACCGCCCCCAAATTAACAACATCGTCGTCATTGTCCCCGGCGAAGACCAATCCTAGAATTCCAATACCCCACACCCAGCCATCATCGAAGCCTCTCTCCGATCTCTACTTCTGCAGGCCAAATACAACTCGTTACTCTTTGACCCTCTGCGACCGCTTTTGGTGTGGTGTTTTGGAAAGGGAGCTGGATTTTTCCTTACCCTCGCAACCTTCCCTGTTTGCCTACCTGGCCGACTGCATTTTGGGCGATAAACCCCTCCCCACTTTTCCTCCTCCCCACCATCCCTCCTCCCGCGGCGGGCCATTCTCACGATGGTGCAGTCGCCTATGATATCCAGTCCGCTGAAACAAACCAGCGAGATCGACTGGATACAACCTCTAAAAACCTATATCCGGCAGACATACGGTGACGATCCAGAGAGATATTCGGAGGAATGCGCAACGTTGAACAGGCTGCGGCAGGACATGAGAGGCGCTGGCAAAGATAGCGCGGCCGGACGGGATCTGCTATATCGATACTATGGTCAGCTTGAACTGCTGGATTTGCGGTTTCCTGTTGATGAGAACCATATCAAGATATCTTTCACCTGGTACGGTCTGCCCGCTTGATGATGAAAATCCAATTCCTCTGTCCGTTTCGCTTAGTCTGGCTCTTTCTCCTAACTTACGATTGTTCTACGATATTTGACAGGTATGATGCATTTACACACAAGCCTACATCTCAATACTCATTGGCCTATGAAAAGGCATCGATTATCTTTAATATATCAGCTGTTCTATCGTGTCATGCCGCAAACCAAAACCGATCTGAAGACACTGGGTTGAAGACCGCTTATCATTCCTTCCAAGCCTCCGCGGGAATGTTCACTTATATCAACGAAAACTTCCTGCACGCCCCTTCCACAGATCTGAGTAGGGATACTGTCAAAACGTTGATATCGATCATGCTTGCTCAGGGTCAGGAGGTTTTCTTGGAGAAACAAATAGATGATGGGAAAAAGCCAGGTTTTCTAGCCAAACTCGCAAGCCAAGCAGCATATCTTTACTCACAAGCTGCGGAAGGTGTGCAAGAAAATGTGACGAAAGGCATATTTGAAAAAGTGTGGTCAATCGTTGTTCAAGTAAAAGCCTCCCTCCTAGCGGCTGTTGCAGGTTACTATCAGGCCATTGCAGATGACGAAGGGACACTGTACGGGATTTCCATAGCTCGCCTCCAGCTCGCCGAAAAGCAAGCTACCACCGCGCTGAGTTGGGCCAAAACTTTCCCAAACTCTCCCCCCGCAGGCTCAAATTTAAGTGCAGATACTGGCCCTATCTTGCTCGATCTCACGCGACGACAACTGGCAAATATCCAAGAAAAATTGGCATCATTTACCAAGGATAATGATTTTATATACCACCAACCGGTCCCTTCTGAACCCAGTTTATCGACAATCGCGAAGTTGCCCGCTGCGAAGGCAATACCCGTGAGTGAATTATACCAAGGACAAGATATACAGAGGATAATCGGACCAGACATCTTCCAAAAGATCGTTCCCATGTCCGTTACCGAATCAGCAAGCCTGTACGATGAAGAGAAGGCAAAACTAGTTCGTGCAGAAGCGGAGAAAGTTGAGGCTGCTAATGGGGAAATGGCTGCAAGTCTTGACTACCTCAAATTGCCAGGAAGTCTGAACATTCTGAAGGGTGGAATGGACCAGGATATGGATGTTGATGAAGATTTTAAGATGTGGTGTGAAGAATTGGCGAATACGCGTCCTTTCCGTGAAGCTTTCAACGAGCTGCAGGAAGACAAAATATCCATACTAAGCGTATTGGACCAGTGCTCTAAACAGCTGGATATGGAAGAGAGCGTTTGTGAAAAAATGCGTTCCAAGTACGGCGCAGACTGGGTTCAACAACCTAGTTCCCGATTGACGTCGACCTTGCGGAGTGATGTTCGAAACTACCGCGATACCATCGACGAAGCTAGTTCCAGCGACTCACAACTTCTAGTGAGCTTGAGACAACATGAAGCTGATTTTGATGAGATGCGTTCGGCTGGAGAAACCGACGAAAGCCGATGTTTTATTCCAAAGGGCGCTGATTAAGGTTGGGGGGAAACATAGCAAGGGTCGAAATGAAGCAGGGTAGTCCTTATAGTGCGGCCCCAGAAACAAATCTCCTGGGTGATGACTTCGACGCGAGGATGTCTGTTACTGAGCAGATAGCGAGGGTGGAGGAACTGCTTAAAAAGCTGAATCTTGTGAAAAGAGATAGAAATCAGATTTTGAAGGATCTGAAAGAGAAGGTGTGCACTATTCTGTTTCATATGTGGAGTAATAAAATGCTAACAAGTCATAGGTGCATAATGATGATATTTCCAATGTCCTTATACTGAACAAAAAATCGATCGCCAACCAAGAAAACCAGCTTTTCCAAACAGAACTTGAGAAATTCAGACCTCACCAAAATCGACTATTACAAGCAAACCACAAGCAAACAGCACTCATGAAGGAGCTTACAAAGGTATACGGAGACTTACTCCAGGACAATACGGTCAGATCGGAGCAGTCCAAGTATGAAGCGCTCACGCGGCAGAGGAACTCGGTTATGTCCAAATACAAAAAGATCTACAACGCCTTCAGAGACATGAGCTCAGGCCTAGAACAAGCGCAAGCCTTCTACGCAGAGATGAAGGATACAGTAGATAACCTACGAAAAAACGTCGATACATTCGTCAATAACAGGCGATCCGAAGGTGCACAGCTCCTTAGTCAGATAGAACGAGACAAATCCCACCACCAATCCAACCAAGAGGATCGGGAGCGCGAAAAGCTAAAAAACCTGATGGAGCGCCTCTCCGTAGAATTCGGGCCCCAATCGCCACCAACATCTTCTTTATCTAAACCAAGACCAGCCCCCCTAAAGACCGGTCGTTCCCCCTCAATTACATCCCACAACACCTTTTCCTACCCTGCCGCCAGCAGCATCGCCCCACAAACCAGCCAATACATGGTCGGACAACAGCAGCAACAACAATCACAACCACAACCACTGCCACCCCCAACAGCAACAGCAACAGCAATACCCTCAACAGGGAGCCCCCGGCGTCGCCTCGACCGAAGGCTACAACCCCATGGCCTACCTCTACCAACCGCCAATCTCCCCCCCACCAAACCAGCAATTCTTCTCCCCGTCGCCATACGGCTATGCAAGCCCGCAGCAACCTTCCCAGTTCATGGCACAGGGATACATACCGCCACCACCGCCACCGCGGCCATCGCAATCGCCTTACCCACAGTCCAACGCGCCATATCCGCCTGCGGGATACATGCAGCCGCGGCCATATAGCGCCATGCAGCAGCAACCTCCGTCGCAGACGCCGCAGGGCCAGCCCGGAGGGCAGAATACTAACAACAATGACCCGTGGGCGGGGCTGAATGCGTGGAAGTGAGAGCCCATGTATTGATTGGATATATACAGCGACGGCTCGCGCCTTTATGACTAGTTTTGGTTGAGACTCTCAAGGAAAGGGATGGGGAAACGATAAGGAACAAATGTAGAAAAAATCCGCCAAGGGACAAGGGGAACTGGGACATGCCACAATACATTTTTGTAGCTAGAAATCACCAAAGAGTGTTTTTCTTTGCCTTTTTATTCTCTTCTATCCTTTCTTGCCCTTTAAAAGTACCGCAAGGGAAATCGGTTGTGTTGAGTAGTAAGTATCCATTGTCAGTGTCGAGAGAACTGAGGAAAGGTATTTATGATACCGGACGGGGGTCAGGAAATGCTGGAACAGATGGAATGGAGCGAGCGTCTTTTCTCAGCGTGCAAGGAGGTTGAAAGGGGGGTGAATAATTGCAGCCCTGGCGTACAACAAACAACACATAACATGGGAATGTGAGATATCGGAACTATGTTTCATCTCTTTTTCTCTTCCTGTTGATTTTTTTATGGGGCTGTATTTATCATCATCATCATCATCATCATCATACATGCATGTGTCATGTCTCTCTATATTTCATTGCTTGTGTCTGTTCCATTTGGTTTCCTTCTAACCCCTTTTTGTCGATCCTCAGTCCCTCCTCCGCCTTGTATCCCTTTTTATCTTGTTGCATCCCAAAACTGCCGCCCTCACTCACCCAGCCCTCCAAATGCATTGCATCATCATGGGTATTTCCCCTTCCATACCATATTACTACCTAGCTTTCGTTTTTATGCCCTTCTTCCCTCCCATTTAACGAACCTATTCATAACATAGCATTACCATCGCCATCATCACCATATATATAATACTATACATAGTACAGTACATATAACATACGCCATCACCCTCTAAAACCTCCCTCCCTCCCTTTATATCCCACAAATTCTCATCTCCATCCGACATCTTCACTCCTCCGTCTCCGTCTCCTGCTCCTGCTCACATTTCCCCCACCTCTTACGCCATCCTTGTTGGGGGGATTGAAT